CAGAAGAATGAGGCAGAGGCAGCTGGTGGTGTAGGGGTTGGGACTGTAGAAATAGCGTATTATTTACTATTTTTGTATTCTATAATTTAAATATAATTATATTCGATTAATTATTTGATATAAAATTGTATAGTAAGCAAAAGCAAGCTATTCAAACACTTGTAATGGCTTGTAAGCATTATAAGCAGATATTACACTGTCACAAATTAATAAGTATGTCTTAACCTTGTAATTTAGGAAGTATATTATAATCACTTGTATAACTTGACAATTTATAAAATTATATCAGAAATTGCCAAGTTTTAAAAGTATTTTTTCTTGCTTATTTAACATTGTACTTTCCTTGCTTAACCCCCCAGGAAGATTATAAGTAATTGGACAAATTTTACAAATTTTATAAAATATACAAGATTACAAGCAAGTATAATACTTAAGACTTTTTCGTGATGGCCACATCCTACAAAGGAAACAGTAGCCAAATAAAGGTGGACACACACCATTCAGAAGGTTATTCTCATATTCCCTCTAATTGGCAGGCAGGCGAGGTTTTGAACCTTGAATCAGCATACGGTACTTGTAGCCCAGCTTCCGTCTTCCCCAACTCTTCCAGAAATGCTTGCACTGGGATATTTTGATCATCATCTGCCCTTCCTAGGTCATCAACTACACTGCGAGATAATCAAGCATGCTAAATTCGGAAATCTCTGATTCGAGATGTCGTATTGAGCTTGAGCTTGAACTATTCAACTTGTAGGGTGACTCAGGCTACAGTACATTGGAAATGGGATCCTTTTGCAGTGTGCTTCCGCCAAGCCATCTACTCGAACCGTCAAACTTACTTTGGGAGAAAAAGGATGATTTAACTTGTTCTTATGGGATTGTCTTTCGCAACTGGCCAATTCGGTGACCAGTAAGCGTCCAAGATGGTTTACTACAACTACTGATGGGCGGAAAGCTATTGGAGGATACATCCATATGTGATTATTTCAGTTTAGATGGTGTGTTTTATTGAGCTGATCGATTGAGATGCTTCGTTCGACATGCCGAGTAATGTTGGTATGCTTTCCCTTGATTGAGTTCGCAGAATTGTGGACTTCTATTATCCTCAGACCTTGGATCAGTTGCATCCTGGTACATGAGTAACGTTTGTAGGCCGTTTGCAGATTGGCCGAGGTGGCGGAAGGGCTGAGAACTCGGTCTCGCTAAACGGTGACGCTTCCTCAAAGATCTTAACCTTCATTGTTTCATCCATGGTGCGTCTGCCAATGATTCCCCAAGAGTTTACGCGAAGCTCCGTAACTTTGTTTGTCTCGAGCACCCTCGCCGGATGAAGCACTGAATATCCGTCTTCTGTGAGATTCTGTGCGTACATGCGTCCGCATATATCGTACAGTGCCTTGTACTGCACAGACCATTCCGGAGGACCTCTGGAGTCGTAAAACGGCCTGTCAGCCACGAAGATGCGAACGAAGCCGCGGAACCTGTCTGAATTGATGTCGCTGGCATAAACCGTGCGGTTGAAGTGGTCTTCGTTTTACAGCTTCAGATAGTAATCCTGTCGAGCGGGTGGTATGTGGATTGGGTCATTCTCTGACGGGACGAACTCCTCTGGCTCTGGGAGTTCATAAACATTTGCGCTTGCGTCGGTACTCGTATGCCATCCCTGACTCGAATTGTACTGCTGGCGAGTATGGACCATCAGCTTACTAGTAGATAGCCATGAAAGTATCATACGAATAAAGCCTTCGTAAGATGCCCGATGGCCCCTCTGCTCCCAAATTTGTTCATATTCCGTGCGTAAAGGCATGAGCCATAAGCGCGGACGAACCAAGACTGTCAGTTGGGTAGCCATCAGTGCTGACAGAAGAAACAAGGGTTGTATTAGAACAGAGTTCTTAGTATTGGTAAGTGACGGCTGTGGAGATCTGGTGCAAAGTGCGAGGTTAGTCTAGGTCGAGGAGGTCGGATAATATAGTATCTAACCAGATGCGGTGGTGATGGGTGCAAAGGTACAAGTGAAGAAAGAGGAAAGCCTTTATTCGCTCGAATTTATACCCTGGGTGGCCGGATGGACAGTCAGAAGTAAAGCAAGTGAAGAGCTGAATAGGTTTCTTACCTCCCTGTCTTAGTACGCGTAGGACAAACGTATTGTTCTGTTCGGATTCGAATTTAAAAGCTAGACAATGCGAACGTGTGTGTGTGTTGGTGAGGTGGTTGAAAGGGATCCCAGATAAGGAACAAGGGATATATGGTGTGAAAGGGCCACAAGCCTGGTTTGTATTAGGAACACTGCTGCGTATCGCCTGACAATCATATTACTGAGATAAAAAATAGTGAGGTAAAAGAGAAATTATTTTAGAAAGAGTGTATCCTTTGTGGATGAAGGCGCCTACTGGTGTATGACATCCAACAAAGGAAACATAGCCAAATAGTGAAATGGAATTGGACCCACAAAAGGTACCAATAACAGCACAATACTCCTGGGCCTCTCCAAGTCTTAACACTAATAACAGGCCTTTTCTATACTCTTCTCGATCAGCTAATATCCTTCCTTAAACATTTTACGTTTATTTCAGATGCATGCTGAAGAGCGAAAAAAGCAGCTCATGATTTTAAGGCGTACATTACAGAGTACACATGCGGGAAGGGAAGCTAAATCGGAGAGTATCAGTTTAGTCGAACAGACCGAAGCCCATGTCATCGTCAGATTCCTCCTTCTCTTCCTCCTTCTCCTCAGCCTTGGTCTCCTCGGCAGCGGCGGCAGGAGCGGCGGCAGCTGGTGCAGCTGATGCATATGCTTCGGGGTTGGCGAGCATGTCCTTGATCTGGAAAATAACACGCGTTAGAATAAGTTCGATTAAAAGTTGGAAAGGGTTGGTCCATCAGAAGGGTTAAAAGGGTTGCAGCATGCGTCCGAAAGACGTTCAGTATTTTCAGTGTATAAGAACCATCCTCGGATACCAGAAGAAAGGAAAAGAAGTTGAAAACGTTGGAAAACGTTGCTCACCTTCTCAGCTCCTTCGAAGGTGTAGTCCGTAGCAAGAGAAACAGCAATAAGGTTCTTGTATGCGTTAACCAAGGTATGCGTAACGGATACGATCGTCGGGTAGTTGAGTGCAAGAGAGATCGCAGCGATGGTCTTAACACCAGACAGGAATCGATCCAAAAGCTCTTTCTCATCAACATCAAGAACGGACGGAGAGAAGACGTTGCCCTGGTCGTAGATCTGCACAACTGTCATTCCGTACGTGAACGGCGAGATGTTGAGCATGTTAAGCAGCGTCGCTTCGGATGGACCGACACGAGAGCCAGCAGTGACAACCTTAATATCCGAAACGATTTCAATCGTACCACGAGCAATCTTCGTCGGGATGTTGAGAGCTTGGAAGAAAGACGTCTTTCCTGGTTCCATTCCGGTGTTTCCAGCTGGGACGACGACGTCCATTGGTGCAAAGGCGCCAGCACGGGCAGGTGCAGCAACCTTGTTTGCAACGATGACCTCACGAATGTCCTTAAGATCGCCGGAGGTGAAGACGAATCCGATATTGCCCTTGATGTACGGAAGCAGACGCTCGAACTGGGGCAACTCCGAGAGCATGGAGCGCAGAGCACGGCGGACCATGGTGTTCTTTCCCATCAAGACAACACCTTTACCACGGAGAGATACACGGATCTGGTGCATCTGGTTCGAGCCGACATTGTCAACATTGACGATGAAGATCGAGGCTAGAATTCACCCGATTAGATATTGTTGAAGCTAGTGACAAAGCCAGAACTTACGATACTTGATGAGAAGCTCCCTCAGCTTAACGAAGTACTCCTCCTTTTGCTGTCTAGAGGCACCCATTGTTGAACGTAGCTAATGAGACTGGGGAAGCTGGGTCAGACTGTGTACAGGCTCCGAACGATTCATTGTACACACAGAAATGAAGTATTGAGTTTTGTCGTTAACCTGTGCCTCCCTATTGACCTCTACCAGAACAAATTATTGACATGCTCTCTGTGGATTGATTGTGATGAACTTACCAGCTGTGCCAATGGATTTTTCAAGGCGACAGGTCTGGGTTTCGTGGATGTTATGAATATATCCAATAAATGTTGTGAATACTTTTGATGTGTGCTTCTATAGAAACTGTACAGCAGCCAAAGCACGTGAACTGTGAGAGGATACTTCCATAAACGAGGAAATCATCACGTGCGGGCCAGCTTGTCGATCGCCCAAACGAGTTGATTCTGTGCACGACCTTTCTCGTAGTGCCAATGCCATGGAATGTTACGATGCCTGTTGACCCCAAGGAATACTCTTATTCAGCATGTTCAGAGGTGTGAGGCGGCCTTCATGTAAGCAATATCTGTTCGCTTGAACGTAATGAAATCTTATTAACGAGCATGTACAGAAAAAGCACCCTCGTTGCTGGTTGGAGCCGTGGTCGACGTTTCGCGCAAAGTCGCGTTTTATCCTCCACACCAGACCACAATGATGCTACAAAGAAGCGTGAAGTCAATGGTGGAACTAGGCCGGGTCGTACGAAGGCCGTACATGATTTCGCATTTCTAATCTCTGAGCGGAATGCACGTTCCGCGTCACCCAAGCTGCAAACTCCGCATGACATCAAAGCATTTTATCGTGCCATACAGACGAAAGGTCTCTTGCGAGAGCTATCTCCAGAAGAATCATCTTCAATCATTCAACTATTTGCTTCACTATCTTTGCTACCGGACCCGTCCGATGATTCACCTATCCCTGATGATAACATGTCCGGCAATTTCGCTTTTCATCCCCTGGCTCCTGTACTGTCTAAACACCAAATTAGTGGTACAAGGCAGCATTGGTCTTTCGTTTTAATGGTCGCAAAGGACAAATTGTCCTGTGGATTAACCCTGGCCGAGTCTGATAATTACTGGCTCATGCGCGCCGCAATAGAAGATGCTAAACGGAAGTTAGATGAAGATCCTAAAGGTAAGCGACGTAGGATAATATATCTTCTTCCCTTCCTAACGAAATACTTCGGGATCAGGACGGGCAGTTGAACAATGCTTACAGAGAGCACGGAATTATTATATGCGTATTAGGCATATCAAAGACGAGCCGTTTGTTCACAAGGTTTACTTAACCGCTTTACTCGATTATGGAGGACACACATCCGTAGATGAAGTAATCACGCACCTCGGGAACCTCCTGAGCTGGAGTGGGGGACTGTATTCCGACCTTCAAAGCATCTTTTGGCGTGCCGTCGCGCACTCGGGGTCCATTTCGTCCGCAACAAAAGGCCGTTTTCTCCAAATACTACGAAAGAAACTGAGCAAAGTTCGTGATAGCCTTCCAAGGTCGTCACGTTCGACCGAATCTTCCTCAAGTTCATCTCCGGATCCGGAGAGCTCATTATACGATGCACTGGCGATACGCAACTATTTTGTTGACGTCATATTCTCCTTCAAACCTGGCACGCGCCAAAGCTTGCACTATCTTCGGGATATATATCCTTGGGTGCTGTTCGAAAGCCGTGCTGCTCTCTGTGCGTTTAACGATGGGACGTATGCATCCTCGGAGGAAGAAGATGGAGCAGCATGGAGCAATTTGATTTTGTTGTCCCTGTCTTATACAGCGGCTCGGAAAGAGTCGGGGGCCGACACAACAAACGTCGCTCCTAGGCAAGGATTAGATGGTGGCATACAATCTCAGGCTCAGGTTCTCGGATGGACTGTCATTTGTTCCATCGCCGCGCTCTCCTCCGAATTCCATCTTCGTTCTCACTTCCGGAAACGCATCGATCCTTCATCTGCCGAGGGCATTCAAGAGATTGCGCGAACACTGTGGGTGCTTTGGAGAAAGGAAGAGGCTTGGCGGGCAGGCGCAATGATGCGGCCCACGTCCCTTATTTGCAGCGTAGCTACGTCGTTCATGGCATTGGCAGCAATTTCTGGTGACTCTCGTTTGGCGATTTCGCTCGTGCGTCATATCTCCGACGCAGTTATCTACCCAGCGCGGCTCGGTGAGGAAACCCTCGACCGGAACATGCTTCGTGCTTGTGCGGTTCACTTCGCGATCTTGATCGCCACGAAGGGTGTTGGTGGACCACCCCGAACTACTTGGGACGAGATTTTGGCGGCATTGCGCTATGCTCAATTGATTCCAGATGGCATGGATCCAGCCTCTATGAGATGGAATTCGGCCGTCGCGAAAACTATGCTTTTAGAATTGGCGCAGCTGGACACATTGCTTTCCCACAGGCTCCTTGTTTCATCCCATGAATATGGTTTAACAATGGATGATGACGTACTCTTTTCGATAGGCAAAGCATTAGCCTTCGCTGGACATCTCAGTATCGCGCTCGAGCTGTTAAGAGATAGCCGATTGTCTATGTCTTCTGCGTCTCTTCTGCTGGACTCCTTGTTGTCAAATGTATTGCGGCACGGCGATTGGCGTCCGGAACTTATTCAATCCTTTGTCAAAGCCTTCACCGACACTTCTACCCGACCGACGAACAGTCAAGCTTTGGAATCTTTCCTCCGAACTTGTATCCAGATAGGATATCTTAAACAAGCCATTGAGATCGCTGCAAGAGTCCACGAATCAGATCCATCTTTATTGAGATCGCAATTTCTTACCAACTTCGCATCGACTCTTATTTCTCATCGTCACTACAAGCTGTTGGGTAAAGTGCTTAAAGATACATGGCACAAGACACCTGACAGCCGGGCATCTATTCTCCGTGGTTCTCGCCTGCAATACATAGGGCGCTTGCTCACTCGACACCCGAAGGCCAGTAATCGAGAGGTCGCGCGTTCCCTGCCTTTCTCGATATACGTTTGGCCGGTTCTTCGTGATCATATCCCTTTCCATCCCCGACTCGCAAGGCTTAACAAGAAGACCATATCCCTGAAACTAAGCAGCCAACTACAAAAATCAGGAAAACTAGATGAAAAGACCCTCGAACGCGCAGTACATCTCCTAGTAGACGCAGGTCGCATAACATCAGCACTCAAGCTCTTAGCCAAAAACTCTCCAACCATCTCAACAAAGGCCGGAAACATCATCCTAAGTGACAGTCTACGACCCAAGCCTTCTCGGAGACAAAAGAGGCAACTTCGTCATGCCTCTTCACGTTTAGCTCAGCTCGTAGAGGAAAGAGGATTTGTCCCGGATCGCGTTACGCTTAATTTGTTGATGAAGGCGCTTTTGAGATGGAAGAATATTACCCCGAAGGCGACGCTTCGTGCGTTGTTTGATCGACTTACGATGAGTGGGTATCCGGTACCTGAGGATATGCTAAATACAGCATCCACTTCTTCGTCAAGTACTCGTACCCCTATTGGACACAATAAGTCGACTCCAGCCGTTTCTCGTACACTCTTCGGTACCGATACCTCCCCCGGTGCCAAAAAAGAGTCCCTAAAAATCGACCTGAAAGCCTTCCCGAAGGGTGTCTCATTCGCCCGTCATACACGACCCTTATACAAAATGTTCGTGAAGGCATTTAGAGGACGTGGAGATAAAGAAGCGGCGCGCCGCGTTGCGACTGCTCTTAAGAGCTTGAAGGAGGAGACGATTCGCGAAAGGGCTGTTCGTGATGAGGCTAGGAGGTTGGGAAGGATTAAGGCGAGGGAACGATTAAAGCGTCGGGCGGAGTCCAAGGATGAGAATTGATAGAGTTGGTTGGAAACCGGAGGGATAGTTTTTGATTAAATGAATGCGTGATATTTAACTGTATCTATAGCTAATCCGCGGTATATAATCATTATCATTCTGATTACATCCACATGATATGAAACTCGTGCTCTTGACGGACGAATTCAGATAACAACTCAGCCACTTCAAAGGAATGAGAATGAAACATGACGATACAGATCGCATCTATAGTTACAACAACGCATTGCTACAAGATGGAAAACAAGGCAAGACATGCCGATCTACATTCCTCTGAGAAGTCAAGAAAGAAAGGAAGAGACGTCGGAGAAAGGAGAACCAAGTCAATCGTGCTTGGCTTTAGCCCGTCTCGAGATAGATGAAAGATACGCAAGCTCCACGATAATGGGTAAACTGAAGGAAGAGCGATGAAACGCGTGCTTGGGGCGCATCTTATCGTCGGAAGCAGAGTTCATCGCAGAGATTCTGGCGACAGATACAGGAAGCGACAGAGGTTGCCATTCAGTCACGCCAGAAATCCCGAGTCCAACGGGAAGTATACTATGAGCGCGAGATCTCTTCAACGGATGTGCGTCACTATCTGACGACGCTCTTTTCCGACCTGCGTTAGCAGGCGGGTATAATCCTGTATACGTGTAGGCGTTGATGTCGGTCTTGTCTACGAACTCAGAAAGCGTCGGACTCTTCAAGTTAGAAGACGCGGGAATAAGGACCCGGTGATTAGGCTTGCTCAGGACCAGGCGCTTCTTTCCACGTTCTAACGAGGTTTTCCGCATAATCTCACTAATCTCACCTGTACCAACAGGAGTAGCGGTCTTGCTGTCGTTCTCATTGTCATTTTCAGGAGGAGCCTCGGGAAACTCACCAGCAGGAGACGAAGAAAGCGCGTTGATGACGTCCAGAGAGAAAGATGTATCGTCGAAGTTGAGGTCTGGGACGGTATACATGCTGCAGGAGGAGAGATGTATAGCGTCATCGTTGAGCGACTGAGGGACTTCGGATGCTGTGCTGTCTAGAAGTGGTGCGCTGTCTACTGGTGTGGGCGCGCCTGCGGCTTTGGACGTGACCTTGCTGAACAAGTTCAGAATAGACAGACGGTACGACACCTGGAGGCGCTGGTCTTCTGGTGGCGAAGGAATATCTTCATCAAGCTCCGGTACTGCCTTGGGGTGTACCTCTTCTGTAGGATGATCAATAGCAGGCAGCAGACCGGGAGGGCTTATAATGTTCAAGCCGATGATTGGTGGTCCGTCGCGTATGGCCCTTACGGCTGCTTCGGCTTCCAGTGTAGTTTTTGAATCTACACGCAAGTCCCCTTTCTCGGTCCCGGTGTCATCTGCGCCGCATATATCCGGAATTTGTTCAACCGAAGCAGAAGATTGTCTCTTCGTCATTCCTTTACACTTGAAGTCCCAAGTAAAGCGACCTTCCTCAGATTCATTTTCATCCAGTTCAATAGTGCTTTCAGGCTGTAGCGGAGGCATCGGAGGGAATGCAAAAGTAGGCGTGCAAGGAGTTGGAGGGCAAGAGCTAATATTCGTAGTGAAAGTCGTAGCAGGACTAAGAGGTTCAAGTGGTCCAGGAATAGCAAGCGAGGGTAGTTGATGACCAGTCGTTTGCGGGTACTCATGCAAGGGCGGGCTCGGGGCACGAGGAAAGTATCCCTGATGATCAGCGGCTGGGGACATTGGCGTTTCCAAATCTCGAGGTACACTATTCATTGCGCGAATGCGATCACGAGGCAGCTGTTGCATACGAGGTGGGAGTGCTTCCGAGTCTGCCCGACTCCGAGCAGGTTCATTGCGCACGGCCGGCTGAAGCTGAGCGACTTTCTTTGCGGGCTTCTGTTTTTTACGTCGCATATACACAAATACGAGGACGGCCACAATGAGAAGCGGGATGATGATAATGGCGATATAAGCCAGCTGCGGAGACGAGTCGTCATTACTTTTGTTGGAGCTGGGAACAGGCTGAAGTTCAACGGGCTCAACACCGACATGCGGTGAGGCAGATGCGAGTAGTATTCTTGATCTGTCAGGAAGAAAATAGGAAGGAACGGGGTTCTTCGAATCTGCTGTAGGAAAAGATCGACGATGTAAAAGATTGTGTGAGACTAGAGGTTTCGGCGCTGAAAATGCTGCTGTAAGGTCGGAAGGAGTGTGGGGAGCCATTATCGGCTACAGATGAAGCGGGTAGAGACAGATCATTGAAGAAGTCTAAGGAACACGCAAGAGTAGTGTCAAAAGCACGTTATAACAGCAGCCCTAAAACCCAGAGGGCTGCCAGTAGTTGGCTGGCAGCATTTTGATTTGGCCCAACGAGGCTGACTTTTGGTCCAGACCATAAACAAACGAGGCACTTTAGCATTACTGGGGCGAAAAAGTAATAAAATTCTTTTTATGGGGTTATGTACGGCACGCTGCTGGTAGTTTGTGGAGCAAACTGGGAGACTGCGAGACTCGGACAGCACGACCCGCACAGATCAACAGTTACTTCAGGCTAACCGACAGTCCTTACGCGTCGGTACACTTACCGAACTCGAGCGAAGTCGTGAAGATTTATGTCACAGGAGAAAGCTTCGTGATCGAGGTCGAGGGGAAGAGCAAGGAAAGGGGCAGAACAGGCCCTGGTCTCTTCCGAGTCCTCGGCTTCGACGCGTTTACGTGAGTCACGTGACGTAGTATACCAAACTATCGTCCAGGCGTGGAGGCCTCTCTTGCCTCCCGTCCAATACGGTGTGTCGCGTTTCACGTCAATGTCTGGCACGGTTTCTGGTGACTCCACGTTGCAAACATCTTCCAACTCAACCCAGTCGACTAGAAAAGCCACGAAGGTGAGCACTGTCCGGCCGGGCAACCTGAACCATTCCCATCTCATCTCAACATGTTCCTGTCACCGCAACAGCGCAAAATCGACGATGTTCTCTTTAACCTTGAGCAAGCTTTACGCTCTACCGATGATGTCAAGCAGCCTCCGGCCAAGAAGATGCGGTTTCCGGGCTCCTTGTACTCAACTCTTGCCAAGTATGGCATCAAAACCAAGTCCAAGTTCGCCTCTGAGTAAGTTTATCTTCGTGAATCAGAGTTGCGTTTGACTCAATATTCTCCAGTTCGAAGCCTGGCGAAATCCCAATAATAAAAAGTTCGGCACCGCACCTTTCTGCAATCTTGTCTCGTGCTGCGACTAGAAAGGAGAAGGCGGCTCAACGCGAGGAGGTAGCACGAGCCTCAGTCGCGAGTCCGAGCACCGCGATCTCCCAACCCGCTCCAGTTGAATACCGGCCCTCATCGACCGCATCCTTCCTGTCGCGTCTTTCGACTTACAAACTTTCAACATATTCTACCAAGCCACCTCCAATAGATGCTGTTGTAGCAGCCAAGGCTGGCTGGATAAACCAGGGAAAGGAAAGACTTGTATGTGGAATATGCAAGGCATCCTGGGTCCTTGCTACTCGTGACGGTCTGTCGAAGGATGCCGGTGCGTATGTTATATATAGCCTAAACCTGACAGGGCAGCTGATCAGTTATAAAGCCAATGCATTAATTGAGAAACAGCGAGTATCGCTAGTACAGATGCATAGAGAAGGATGCCCCTGGAGAACACGGCAATGTGATGGTGAGTCGCATACATATTAACAATGACTCATCTAAGACCACGTTAGATTCGATTTACTGCATCCCCTTAAAGTCTCCCTCCGTATTGTCAAAGGAAATAAAGTCGAGTGCGATGGAACTCGACAGCAAAAAGGTTCTTGAGGGCGTTGAAATTCGCCATCCCTTGGTAAGATCCCTCTCCCTCTTCGCATTCCATTACATGCGTTCTGACGCGTGTGCTACAGACATCCAGCCAGGTCCAGGCGTTATTATCAGCATTATCGTCTGTCAAGCTTCCTCAACCCTCGGATGCAGAAGGAGACGAGGTACTCTCTGAGGATCGAGCAATACAAGAAGCTGTAACTACCCTGGCGGAACCTTCCCAGGACGCGATTTTGACGGCTGTCTTTGGATGGTCACTAGCCCCGCCCACTCTGGATTCTCGTCCAAGAACATCAAGTGCAGCTGGTACAAGCTCTGTATCACATACGCCGGAGCTGTCCAGTATAACTCGTCAGCCATCTCAAAATGATTCTTCCATCAGCGAAGCAGGTACATCAAGGCCTTCTCGCATCCCGGTTCCCCGTTCTTCTGCGACTACGGCGAGATTACAACGTCAAGAGGTAGCAAGAAAACGAGATGAGACTTTGATCCACTGTGAACTTTGCCGGAGGCGTGTCGGATTATGGGCTTTTAAGAATATTGACGAATCTGCTGCAGAGTCTGGTGCATCCGTGAACGCAACGTCCTCCTCCGACTCTGCTCCTCGGACTCGGTCCAGTACAGCTGCGAATGGTCCTTCACGCTTACCAGTCCGCCGAGTTTCCCAAGGACCAATGCCGAAAAGGCAATTCGATCTACTAAAAGAACATCGCCCCTTCTGTCCATACGTCGTGCGTTCAACAGTCGTGCCATCCCTATCGTCGCTAGGGATCTCGACGTCACCTACACGAAGCGCATCCGCAAGCCACGTCATTCCATCTTCCCGACCGAGTGCATGCCGCTCAAGCTCGGCTTCATCCTTCAATTTCAACTTTTCGACGACGCGCTACGCAACGCATCATACGCATCATCCAGAAATCGGATCAAATGGTACACTTAATGACCCAGCTGCTGTTGAAGGCTGGCGTGCGGTTTTGACAATGGTTATGCGGACGGGACTTGGTCGGCGTCAACGACAACAATTACATATGCGTTCTGTGTCCAGTCCGTTGGCAGGTGAACACGGAACTTTGACGACCTCTCCAGCGACTGCTAGTGGAGAGAATGAACGGGACGGGGATGCTATGGAGATTGATAGCATACGTGCGACGGTTGAAGATGTGAAGAAGCGTGGGGTAAGTAGACTCATTCTTTCCCTGGTTTCTAGTATTTTGAGTTGCCTCGATCTGACGAATTGCGATAGGGAAGAGATTTGCTGCGTTATATAAAAACCTTATTTGCATGAGTATATCGTTTATAAAGTTTCTCCTAGGGGCACATGAAATATTCTGGGTTCTATGGTATGATTTAGGCATTCACGGACTTGTAGAAATATGATCTCCAATTCTCCAATATACAACTAATAACACAAACACACTTCCTTTTCTACACAATTTTAAGTTGGGACTGCCTCTAGGATGATCCGTAGGGGACAAACAATAGCGATCATTGATAATCAATGCCTTTGCTGTGTGGCTCAAGTTCTGCGGCCTAACGCGGTACGGTGGCGTATGACTCAATGGGACCGACGCCTTGACCTCGGGCCACAGGCATGGGCCCTTCATAAAGGGCGAGGGTGAGATGGTGGTTTACACTACTCTTCCCTCTTCTTTGACCAAGACTAGTGTTGCTTGCAACGGCTGCTAGTTAGAGAAGTGTACCTGTCCTTGCTTTTGTTAGAGAGTAAAGCAGCGTAATATTACTTTCGAGTATTCCAAGTGAGTTCCCGTACGTACTTATATCTCGCTACATTGGACTAACAAATGTATCCAATCAACGTACTAATTGGTATTCGTTAGAGTCCAGCCAGGATGGACCCTCGATTCTTTCAAGGTCCACCGGTTTATAGTGTGAACACCCGAACAAATACAAATACCAGTTTGGACTTACCGCGCAAAGTTATCAAACCACGGAGGAAGCTGTTCTTCCAGCACTCGAGAATACATGGAAGTGACTATATCCAATTACCTCCACCTTGCCGGACCATTCCTCCGGGGTTGCAGGAGTGGATTGCGCCCCGACCGGATTTCTTATTTGGTCCTCACAGGCCGGCATCGTGTTCTCAACTACTAAATATGGACAAGGAAGGTGATTCAAAATGGTGTCATACGAGGCTTGCCTCGTCAGGACACGACATTTCAAATCATCGCTACAGTCCATACGTCAGCCAGAACAGAGCTAGGCATGCAACTGGGCGCGTCAGGCCTTCAGCGACTGAAGAACGCTACGGACAAGTGCGTGAATCGTATGTTTGTCCTCTTACAAATGTCTTTGTCGAAGTCCCAACTCTTGACAGGGAATACGACGACTTGTCCGACGATTCGCGTCAGGACCAGCCAGATGAGGAAGAGAGAAGACTCTGGGAGTCGTGGCATTACCACCATACCACCATGGAATGGAGAACGGCGGAAAGCGACGGCATCCCCTCAACAGGAACCAGACATAAGCCATTGGGACGTGATTTTGGGTCTGCTTTCGATCCACCTGTCGAAAGACATGGACGACCTCAAATGAATGCTCGTCGTCCAGGAGGGCCAACTCTTCGACCTGCCGCCTGGCATGACTCTCAATCCACTGTGATGAACTCGCAACATCGTCGTTTAAATACTCAAGGATACCTACAGTAGCAACCGCTTTTGCTTCAACCCGTTGACCTTGTTACTGGAATTTCTTTATTTCTTTATTCCCTTGTTTCCTCGCTTCTTTGTTTCTTTGTTCCCTTTTCTATCTCTTTGTTTGTTTCTTTGTTTCTTTGTGGACACTTAGTGCCTTTTCTCGTATGCTCTTTTCGACTTTTCGATTATAACTCTTTTTTTACCTTACTGGGATCACACGTAACTTGGTCCAACCCCAAATTGTAATATTTTTCTATCTATTCTCTATTGAAAGAAGAGTTCATACAAAAACAAAAACAAAAAATTCATACGCCAATAATAAAGCGCTAGAAAATATGTAATCCTCCGTCAGATCTACAGAATTTGTGCGGGAAGCTTTGCTTCAAAAAAAAAATCCAACCATGTGCTCCATCGTCAACCAAATGTACAGTCCTGATACTATCTGCGGTGTACTTTCTCCTCGCTTGTTAATGACTCCTCACAACAGCTTCGGATGCCTTCAACAATAATGAAACGCGTTGATACCAGATCAATAAACAGCAAATATATAAATAAAAAATCCGGACCCACTTTTGCCGTGCATGTGCACTCAATGTTTCTTGACAAGAGAATGTGACATACGCCCCCAACCTCCTGCAATCTTGGCAACTCGTATATGCTTCCCTATCTCGCTTACACTTGTCGCAAGTGCAGCATGTGATCCACTGATTCAGCTCGGGAACGTCCTCGATCCGTCTGTATCCGAGCTCAATGCCTGTATAAGCTGCAGGCTTAGCGAGCGCATTTTCATCGTGGTCATTAACGTTTGAGATCGCAATTGAGAACCTTTCCCTTGATTCGTTCTCGGTGTAAGATCTAACTGTATTTATATAAGTCAAGCGAACACACCTATATTCCTCCATTTGTTGAAATTCTGTCCGTTCCTTAAAGAAATGTAGCATCTTGGGTTCCAATCGATCAGCAAATTACGCATAACCAAACATGAGAAAGCGTACTCACAAGTTCCGTCCATGTCATTGGCTTGCGCAAAATAGGGTCACAGCAGAGGCAAACAAATGATTTGCCAAGGGCCGCCATCTCTGCATGAGTTACTTGATTGTTGGTACTATCCAGAACCGATTTGTAGATTCCTTGGATGGAGGCTATTGGATAGGGACTGAAATCTGGAAGTCTGATAGGCATTTTGGAATTGTTTAAGGACGAATAAAAGTGCCATCGATATTCGCGAAGAAGTTGGTCGAAAGTTTTTAACTCAATCTGAGAATAGTCTCCGACGAGGAAGAATGATGCTGCATGTCTACAAATAGTAGAATCGCCCAACTGCCATTCGTCGCATAGGAGCCCAAACGATCGAAGTTCCTCTCGAAGGGAAAGTGCACAACGCGCTTCGAAACGGTGTATCCATGCCTGGCTAAGCTCCATAACCTGATCTTCAAGTTTGGCTAATACAATGGGGTCAAACTTCTCCTTCAAATCGTCCCTTGTTATCAGCTCTTTGACCATGGGCAACTCAAAGAATTCTTGACCAGTAACGAAGCAGTGATTGTTTGTGTTAATAAGATCGAACCTTTCTTTCGTTATCTTGATTAGCTCCTTGCAACGCTGGTCGAGAAGATCCTGTCGTCTCTTTGCTCGTCGTAGACGAATGATTTCTTCCAATTCAGGAAGAATGGACTCCCATACTGGTAGGAATGTCAATACTGCAAGCAAAAGAGAGTTTTTGACTTACTCCACTCGGTGAGTGGTTGATTTTGCTCCACCAGGCTTCTCCAGTTCCAATCTTGATCATCTCCAAAGTCGATAAAGTCCCGATTTGAATACCCGAGTTTTCTTAGCCTTGCATAGATCCTAGAATAGAGGGTTAATAGCGAGAATACGTGAAACGTTATTTCGCTCACGTATCGCGCCTAAAGGCCTTTGTGCTATAACTATTATCCGACCCCACAGACTTATTTGCTTTTAGCCACGCTTGCAATCTATCGGAACTCTTAAAAGGGAAGATGTTCAGTAGCTAGTCGACACGTAGTTATTATGCGACGTACAAATATAATCTGCTGCACATGCACCTGCCTGTCGCATGCAAATTTCGTCCTCTCATCAGCCGACGGCAGAGACACATATTTCTTGAAGGCGGCAAAAAAGGCAGGTTCATAGAAGTATCGCTCGTCGGTGTAGGTGTTGTTGGCTGAACGGACCCGTGGTAAATCCGTGGAAACCTTCGCAGCAAGGAATTACTTACGCGTGCCCACTTCAGGAACAAGCGAGCAAATCTCTACTCGCTCTAGAAGAGTAAATTTGTGCCGTATACTTTGGTACAATAGTAATTCGCTTCTTAGTTTCATACTGTAGGGATAGATTAGGAGGGTTCACTACAACGGTAAATGACAGACCATTCTTTAGAGCAACACCGACACAATCGGACTCTGTGAACGACATAATATTTGAAACTACCTCTCTTAAGGCAGCGCTATTGGCAGGAATCAGAAAACAGAGGAAACGGTACAAAAGTATCGGTATACTTGCAGAGCAAAATGGATCAAATATAAAGCTTGCGTATTCTGGTGAACTGAGGTCTGGTGGCCGTTCAGGCAAGCCAGCTGCTTGTTCCGCATTCTGCCAGATTAATCTCGAGGACTTGGATATAAGAAGTTCGCGTATCGCTTTTGCCGACCTTGAAAGTTGTAGTAAATCGTCGGGCCCGAGATAATAAGAAATCTGAAAACATAGTATGAAGGCTTGATGGCAAACCTGAACGTGGAGTAAATCGCTTGCTTACCTCGCGAAACACGTCTTCGGGCATAGACATCATATTGCCGAGCATGCCAGTTAGCCGCTTATGATTTACACGTACGACCGTAGTGGAGTCGACTTTCGAGGACTGGGAGTTATCGCCTTCAGTAACATCCTTCTTTGAGTTCGTTCGTCTACGCTTCCGCACTGTTATGCGACTAGATGGCTCAGCCACGGTTTCTCTTGGTGTCTCTGTCCCAGTTCCATTGACCCGGAATGGACCTTTGCAAGAGTTCCTAAGTAGTCTCCATCAATTGGATTAAGAACGGGCAAAAAATTAGAGTCTCACTTTGATTTTGCTTGAAGCCTCAATACCCAGGACATGAAGAAGATGCAGGATGTCGATCACACCGTGGCTTGGCTTCGGATTCAAAAATAAGAGGCGCGTCGTATCACGTGCATCGCAACACGGAGCGTGGGAATCTGTTGCTATTATAACTGCAACTCGTTTCTTTTCTTTCTACCTCTACCATGTTATGTACAATGTACATGGCGTCATGGCGGTCCAAAAAATAGAACGCTTCATTGGCTTCTGAATCGTAACCCCGTCACTGCAAAACTCTTCTTGCTCGACAAAAACAATTATCCGTCGGGCCTATCGTGTTGGTCAAATGACCTCCATCAACTTGATAGCTGCCATTCGGCGGGAGCTACGCGGTGCGGTAAGGCAGTCTGGATAGTCGTCCGCATTGTTCGTCTATTTTTGCTTCGAGAAGCTCTCATTGATTGGCCATAAGCTTTTGCGTCCGATGCGGGGCCGGAGCTCTGAGCTCATCAATCGACGAGATCAGATCACGAGTACCATTCCCCGAAGTTACCTCGTCCAAAGTGTATCGTAAAGGAAAGTCGGCGTCTAGCTTCTCGCCCGACATAGTATCGGAGTTGAAGGCATCACGGATATGAAAAAAGGCCAGTATGCTACATAAACCTTCGGCGCGGTAGGAATTGGTCAATCCAACATCCCCAATGATGTTGTATCTCAACACGGGGCTTCTCTCTGCTCTCCTTGGCTATCTCATCTGTATTGCCAATGTTTACGCAATTGGGCAGGAAACCTGCGTGTCCTTCAAGTCTGGACCTTCCTCTTTTGCCGTTGTAAGCGGCAATTCTGCTACTCCCATTTTCCTCTCCGAAGATGACTGGCCCGGTGTCCAACACGCTGCTATCAACTTTGCTTCTGACATCGAGCAAGTAACGGGAAAATCACCTCGATTATCCAATGTTACCTCTTCAGTGAAGGCGTCTTCGCCACCAATAATAATCGGGACTCTTGGCAGGTCGTCGCTCATCGATGCCGTCGTGAACCATACACAATTGGATGTCTCTTCCGTATCCGGCAATTGGGAGGCGTTCATGACAAAAGTGGTCGACAACCCTCTCCCCGGAGTAGCTAAAGCATATGTTATGATTGGAGCAGACAAGAGAGGTACGATTTATGCTATGTACGATCATTCCGAGCAGCTTGGCGTGTCTCCATGGTACTGGTGAGTCAACAAAATTTCTCAATATTATTTCGAGGTCGAGTTGATTGCAATGACAGGTGGGCAGACGTACCGACGACTAAGAACTCTGAAATCTTCTTCTCTTCTCCTGGGTGCTCACATGGGTCACCAACTGTGAAATATCGCGGCATCTTCCTCAACGATGAGCAGCCAGCTCTGACAAATTGGGCAATGGAGAAATTCACGAACGGCACAGGCGCCGCTTTGACAGGCTCTCCGTTCAATCATTTCTTCTACACAAAGCTGTTCGTGTTTTCTGCTCGTCTGTACCAATGACAGACTGAAATCTTCCCCAGATTTGAACTTATTCTTCGTATGAAGGGTAATTATCTTTGGCCTGGTGCGTTGGAACATATTATCAACTAAGTGTTTCCCTGACTATTTTTATGTTTCTTACAGCACAATGGGCCAGGTAGGCAAAGTTGCAAAAGCGCCTTCAGCACAATTTGACGGATTCTTCCGATTTAGTGCTTTCAACGTAGACGATGTGGAGAACCAGCCTCTTGCGGATTGGTACGGTGTTGTCATGGGCACAAGGTAAATTTTATTTAAAAATCTACTTCTTCATGCTAATATGACTTTTAGTCATGAGGAGCCTATGATGCGCTCTATTCCAGTAGAATGGAGCCTTTTCGGCGTCGGTCCGTGGAACTATACGACAAACTCCGCATTCATATATAATTTCTGGGTGAACGGCACTATACGTGCAAAGCCGTATGAGAGTATCTTCACCGTGGGTATGCGAGGTGATGGAGACTGTAAGTAACTTGGTGCTATAAGGTGCCCGTGATTAATAGCACGCTGCACAGTGCCTCTGTCGGAGACGACGAATATCGATCTTCTGGAGAAAGTTGTGTCCGATCAGCGACAGATTCTCATGACTGTCTTCAATGAGACAGACGTAACAAATATCCCACAGGTTTGGGTACTCTGTAAGTTATTTCGAAAGCATAGCAATCCTTTGCCGAGCTTGATTTCACCTATTACTTACCTGATAGACACCGACGTGCTTGGTTATTATGATGATGGAATGCGCGTACCAGATGATATAACTCTACTCTGGAGCGACGACAAGTGAGAATGCAACTTCAGCACTTCACATTTCCACTTGGCTTATTCCTTTTGAAAGTTGGGGAAACATGGTTCGTTTGCCCATCCCAAGCGAATTCAACAGGACAGGAGGTGCAGGTGTCTATTACCATGTGAGCGAAAGCTTTTGAAGCAACGATACTCGCACTGAACTCTGCCATTTTCTAGTACGACCTTGTATGTGAATAGATCTTGCTAATCTCGCTATGATTGAATATGGTGCTGTGTAGGTCGGTCCTCCAAGAGATTACAAGTGGATCACAGTATGTCTGCCGAGTGTCATGTGCATAGATGATGTATGTTAACATTCAGCATCTAGAGCTCGCAAATGATGAAGGTCAGATTAAGAGTTGAACGGGTGTTCATATAACGGACTCACGTTCATACATCTCTTAAGACTTATGATCACTTGTCAAATGCGCTTGCCCGTCAAGCTGAAAGGATCTGGATCGTGAATGTCGGAGATCTTAAGCCGTACGAGCTCAACACAGAGTTTTTCCTGTCATACGGATATAATGCCTCACGCTGGTCGCGTGATAACCTCAACACGTTCGTATCGCAATGGGCGCAGCGCGAATTTGATGTATCCCCGTCGGTCGCGAATGAGATCGAGGAGATCATGACAAACCTTACGAGATGGAACAATAGACGAAAGCCTGAGCTGCTGAACGGTACGATATTCAGTTTGACGGACTATAGAGAGTATGTCCTTTCTACTCTGAAAACTTAGATGCGTTATTGATATGATATTGCGCAGAGCCGAGAGAGTTTCAGCTGCTTGGGATGCGCTCCTAAATGCTTCGACTAAAATATATGATAGCCTTCCTTCCCAATATCAGGCAGCTTTCTTCGAGCTCGTACAACATCCAGTACTAGCGAGTTCGACGCTCGGTAACATGTGGATTGCTCAAGGCATGAACAACCTTCGTGCGACCCAGGCTCGCTTAAGCACGAATAATCTTGCGGACCAAGTCGAAGCCTTGTTTGCTCAGGATTACGCAATTGAAACACAGTACCATTCACTATTGAACGGGAAATGGGATCAGTACGTTATATGCATTTGCAATTCCTGTTTAGTGTCCGTACTAATTATCCTGTGTAGCATGATGGATCAAACCCATGTCCAATACTTCTATTGGCAACAGCCCATGGCCAACGCGTAAGTAAACCACCATTGAGAATTCTTAGTTCCTTATTAATTTTGGTCGCCAGCATGCCACCTATTTCTCGCATTCAAGCGAAGAAGCAGGCTTTAGCTGGTGTAATGCGAATTTCTCCCGAAGGTACGAAGGGTGCATGGTACGTGCAAAGTCCAAGAGAGTACTTTTGAAATTTAAAACTTGTTTGCACAGGCCAGGAGATAATCCAAACCAGTGCTCTGCAGGTTACAACTGTCCACCTTTTACGATGACGCTGGATACGTATGTCCCGTTCAATTCGCGTTTCATTGACGTCGGTGCAGGCGGACCAGCACCATTCACCTTCACCGCGACTTCAAATGCTTCATGGCTTATCCTAACACCTGACAAAGGCTCGGTATCGCCGTCGAACCCTGAGCTGCGTGTCGAGGCGACTGTCGATTGGAGTAAGGTGGAGGGCGTTCAAATGGCTCAAATAAACTTCAACGCGACTGCGCAGGGACAAACTCCCTTGAGTGTACCGGTGTTCTTCGTTGCGAATCATACCGTAGCGCCAAGTGGCTTCAAGGGTATGACTAGAATTCGAGGTTCAGTTATTTCATTCTAATTACCTTACTGTAGGATTTGTGGAAGGTGACGGAGGAATATCCATCGAGGCAGCCCATGCTTCGCGAAACACAACCGTGGCGGGTATCACTTGGACTGAGCTTCCGGACTACGGGAAGACAGAGTCTGGTGTGACGCCATGGCCGCGGTCCGGGAATGATTTTAATAACTTCACGGCCGGCTCCGGACCAAGCATGTGGGTACTATTAATTTTCTGCTATCCGCGGCGTAGCTTAGCAGTTTCTCATTATAGCGAATACGACTTCTACAACTTTAATACCATCGGCGGAGGTGGAAAAATCTCTGCGAATGTGCTGGTATCGCCAACGCTGAACAGCATGGGGCCAGATAGGCCTATCAAGATCGCCGTGCAAATGGACGACCAGACACCTCAAACTGTGGCTTTCATTCCCCCTGCGCCTCCAGGTACTCTTCCGCCGCAATGGGACGGCAATGATGGTTTTGTAGCGAATGCCATTGTAAGTGTTCCCACGAGCTGGTCTGCACAGCCGGGTGCGCACACGCTCAAGGTGAGTATATGCATCATCTTCAAGGACCTAGGAAATTGATAGATCCTCTAGCTTTGGATGGTTGAGCCGGCAGTCGTTGTGCAGAAGATAGTTATTGGTTTGTCGAACTTGTTTCCAGCGTGGAATATTGTTGCTGATGATCTCTGCAGATACCGGTGGTGTTCGCCCAAGTTACCTTGGTCCACCGGAAAGTATTCGTCTATAAAAATATGACAATACCGCCAATAATTACGGCATTCTGTATCTCCAAATGTAACTGATTTTCGTATAATTAGTATCTATTGCAGTCGCATTCAAATTGCCAAGTGCCATAAACTTCTTCCTGTTATCGCTTCTCAAGCTCTGCATAGACTCTTGACCAATCTCGACAATTGTTATGCGTAACGAACGGTTGTACGGACTTCGGGCCGTACTCGCTGCGAACCTGCTCAAGCTGAGTATCTGAACGGCACTGGATCGTTTGCCTGAGGTAGTCCAAGCAGAGATGCGCCTCTGGAGACGTAAGGGTGCTTCGGTCAGCTTTTCTCTGTAGAACGCCCAGGCGGACAGTATCAAGACAATCGAGTGCGTGGAACATTGCGAGGCGATATCGACGTGTATCAGAACCTTCGCCGAGAGTGATATACCCGTCTCCGGGAGGTTGAATGGCCCGCCATTGCTGAGCACCTTCGAATGTGTCGAGCTGGAAGTTGACTGAGTCCTCGACTGTGAGCGCGACCTGCTTGAGAGGTAAGTCCCAGTCACGAGGATGTCCTTCTTGGCCTTTGAATAAAATTTAGAAAAAGAATCCGAAAAAGTAAGTCCTTGTACTCACTATTCAGTCGAGATTCCCGAGATGATTCCACAGTAAAAGGAATTGTAGGCGGGAGAGAAATGAAAATAGGTAAGATGACATTGAGAGCAGTGGTGAAAGCGAGGACTATAACGGCCAGTTTCAAGTTGGCTACATTGGCGATGCCAGACTCACGTCCATAGCTCATGGTGGTTGGAGGGTGAGGGGCCAAAGGCGGAAGGCACGGAGAAACTAGACAATACGAGCGAGGGAAAGCACAAGCCCCGAGTGAGAAAGCTTCGTGGGTTCTGTTCAATTGTATTACTATCTCCGGTAACGCTGATATAAATCCAATTTGACACCGAGCCTCGAGGTCTGTGAATGCTGCTTATTAGGAGCAAATACGTCTTCTCATGAAGCCACGATGAACCGCACTCTGGTTCCAAGCGTCGCCGCACTGCTCGTCCTCTCCTTGCTCAACCTTATAATAATACTAAGGAGACTTGGCGACTTCAATGCACTTCGAACAGTGCAGAGATACAGTGAGTATTGTAATGAACACGACGGGAAATTTTTCACTGAAATGAGTGAATAGGCTACGTCGGGAACGACTTCCCTGAACTCCTGCCTCTTGATAAGCCCCTCCCGGTCATAGACTACGTCTTCACCAACAACACTGCCAACTTCCCCATTCATGGTCCCGATGCCCAAGATGCGTGGAATCGGGTCTATCCAAATGGCTTCGGCTTCGTCCGTCTCGGACCCGAGCGACGGATTCTCTGCGTGTCGATGTTCCACCAGCTACATTGCATCGAGAAGATGCGACGCGCACTTGACGATCCAGATGATCCAATCGCGACGATTCCGCACTTGCAGCATTGCATGAATTATATTCGCCAGATGCTTCTCTGTGGCGCCGATTTGACATTAGAACCGGAAGTATACGAGGAAGGCAACGATGCGACGGGAATGGGCGTTATGCATACATGCCACGATTGGACGGCGGTATATGACACGATCAATGATAATTATGCGAGATGGACAGAATATTGGGAGACGGTGAAGGATAGCACGATTGTAACTTGACAGCGGAGACAGGCACGAAGCAGATTACATTCTTCAACATGATGAGACAGGCATGATTGACAGACAGTCGACACGGGCTAACGCCTTGCGCAGATCAACTGGTATTCCAATTAGTTGATGCAACGAAGATCATTTCGACGGGAACTGCTGAATGATGATACCTAAAAAAATTGGTGTCAAAAAACATGTATATACCATCATAGTAGCAGTACTAACCAAACCGTGGTTGAAAGTAGTAATCCTGCCAGAGTTCTATGTAGCAGCCTACACCTGGGCAGAGGAGTTCGAACGTCTGCAAACTTCCCGATGTGCCACACCAAAACTCGTCAGATTTATGGGTGGAATTTTCATGAACGGAAAGAGTGGTGATGAGTTCCCTGCGAGGTGGCTTAGTCTCCCAGGCAAGAGTTCGTTCGTCCAGAGCCTTCCCCGACGATGTCAGATTCCAAACTTCAATGTGAGACGTATCGCCTGCGAGATGTAGCGTCTGGTTATGAGATTGCAGAAGCTCCCAGCTTGGTATCGAAGAGACGACGCGGCAACGCTCCATGCCATAGTCATGGACTCGAAATTGAGCGATCATTGTAATCTAAAAACGGTCCAGCTACCTGTATGGAACAACTAAGAAAGAATGAACATACGTGATCCGTCAGGAGGATACGATGGTCTCCTGGTGAAACACGTCCATTGAATGTGAACCGTGCATGACCATCCGACGGGAAGACGTAGTGTCGATGGATGTGGTCCACAGGTTGGAAGAACGATGGAAAGACATCGAGAGTGCCTAGCAGTGCCGAATGCTGCAGCTCAGGAGGAAGCTTGTCAAGGACATTATATACACTTGGTCTCTCCAGCAGCCCAGGATCGGGCCTCTCGTCAGGCGTACTCGACTGTACGACGATTCCGCCCAGGAGAAAGTGCAAGTCCCACTGTGTACGAGCATTCATGCATAGAAAGACCAATGAGACTATAGAGCAGACTAGCGACAGCACGACCGTGAGGCCAAGTAGTCGTCTCAAAGTAGGGTTTTCAAAAGACAAGTCGGAGTTGTGTTCTAGTTTGTCTGATCATTAAAATATTCTAACAAGAGTCGGGTGTGCTTACGGTCATCGTCCGACGAGACACTGAACACCGACTCTTCAGTTTCATCGCTAACGGCGAGCGGTGAATATTCTGAAGTGCTCTTCATCGTCGTTGCCTGTAAAGAGTATGTTTCCCATGGTGTCTATTGCTATTGTAGTGCTGTCGGACATGACGGTGGGAGCAGACACGCTACCTACCTTTTCTGGCTTAGTAGACATTGGCGCTCAGACAGCGACAGCTGCTCCGGACGTCAACCGCGACGATGCATGCGCCTTCGCCGTCGCACATCCTCCGCATCCACGCGGCAGACGTCACCGTCGTGTCCTTCTCTAAGGATAACGAGCGGCTATACTCCGGCGACACGTCGGGCAGCGTGTTCGTCACCTCGACGCGTACATTACGGCCCATTGCTACATGGAAGGCGCACTTGGATGGCCTCCTCGGCGTGCAAGAGTGGGCATCGAACATAGTCACGTACGTTCTCGTATCGACGCATCCTATTCAGTACATTAATTGGTTCGTAGTCACGGCCGGGACAACAAGCTGCACGTCTGGAAGCGTGTCCTTCCTCCTCCTCTAGTCGGCAGCACCGTGTCCAGTCCAGATCTTCCTACTCCTGAACTGCAGTATTCTCTGGATGTGAATGCTCTGAATTTTTGTCGTTTCTCTTTGCTTCGGGCCCCTTTGTCTGGCGCGGAGTCTTCAGCAGCACCTACAACGGAACATGCTCTCATCGCCATTCCGAACCTCATTGAATCCTCTTTGGTAGGCACATTAATTCTGAATGCGTATGAATGACCTGACTGAAAGAAAGGCAGATGTCTGGGAACTACCTTCTTGCTCAAGAATCCATGCAGCTATTGGAAAAGTAGAAGCTCCCGAAATTGGCTTGAAAAGTTGGCAGATCGATTCCGATGGCCGTGGAACTGCGAAAACAGGCTAGTATCTTCAAGAGACGCCCTTGATAGAACTAAATGTATTGACAGTAATTTCTAGGCATTCTAATGGCACTACACCTCTTTATCAAATCAAGCCGACTTCATTTACTGTCTGCATACGAGATTGGAGAGGTCACTCTGCGCCGACGCATTTCCGGTGAACATGAGAAGACCATCGAAGGTCGAGGCTGGGAATGCATATGGAGAACAAGACAACATGCTGAGTCCGGTCGGTCCTCTAGCGTACATGACTACGCATATACTCACATTTTGCAGTAATGGCGATGTCCGTTTCATCCGATGCTTCATTCGCTCTGACTGTATCAGCAGACCTAATAATTGTCCGATATGCATTAGATGTGCGTGCGCTTTTTCTTTCGATCTTCCTCTCATAGCTAAAGTGATCGCAATATCAAGGGTGGAGACGAAAACCGTTTTACAAGACATAGGATCAGACAACCAGGCAACGGTGCCATTGCACTACGTTCCGACGGATGCGTCTGTGCAGTTGGTGGGTGGGACGGAAAGTAAGGATTCTCATCTCCTGCTCCATGTCTTTACACTAACAAGTGTTTAGAGTTCGCTTATTCTCAACGAAGTCCTTCAAGTCACTCGGAACTCTGTCATATCACACAAAGAATTGTCAGGCAGTTGCTTTTGCGCATTCAAATCCACAGCAATTTCCAGAAACTTCGGAGGACGATGACGAACTGACCGAAGAGGAACGAGAAGGTCGAAGTCGATGGCTCGCAGTCGGCTCACAGGACCATCGTCTAACGATTTGGGAGCTAATCAGCTTTCGCAAAGAAGCGCGTTGACTATATGCTGAAACTTTCGCAGGTGAATTGTGTCGACGTTGTAGTGGCGTTGTACTGTTATACTTATCTTAATCAGCTTTTTATATGCTATGGGACCACCTGAACTTCTAATAAATTGATTGAAACTGCTAGAGAATGGTCTTGCTGCACGAAAGGGCAACGCAACGATTACAGGCTTACCAAAAGTTTTCCTTGTGCAAATGATGAGACTGCCTGCACTGGCATACGATTTGGCCCATATGTCGGCTTTACAACCTCAGGCCTGGTGGGACACAGTGCTATGTCCTTTTGGTCAACAAGGTGAGTACGATAAGTTTTTAGCATCATCAATCATGCACTGGGAGTATTGATTTATTGATTGCCTGTTCGCCTGACAGTCCACGGCTTGTGTGACTGGAGAAGGTGCTCCTGTGGCTCGCATGCTTGTTAGGCGTCGAGATATAGAGACATAGAATGTTATACTCGCATAGTAACATACCAAAACACTGTTAAGCAGTCGAAAGCACTGAGAAATTATCTCTTTACCTAGATTTATTGCTTTAAAGTCATCTTTGCATTATATGCAAAACCGTTCCACTTGGATACTCGATTTATCTTGGTCCTTCAACATATGCCACAAAGAGCAATGGATCATATATCAGATATATTTGTTCTTCATTATTAGTTACAAAGGACTGGGCCAGCATAAGCGGCTATAGTATCGGCGACAACATAATAAGTCGAGATTACTCGGGTGTCTGGAGGGAACACATAGTATCATAAATAAGAGATAATATTAAGTACACGTTCTCTCAACGTGAATGCACCTGCGTTTAACCTCCTCCCTGACCCAAGTATTTTTGTCAGAGTACCTGCGGAGAGAAATGCCAAGCCTTAAAGGTTGATCCACCGCAGAGTTACTTCTAGCTCTCAACAGTTAACGGCTTCTTAAATCGAACATGCAACTGTTTTGTCGTCCTAAGGGCCTTGCGCATCTGCCTACAACCGATATCGACGAACGGGACGCTGAAGTATAGGATCTCACCAACGAGGTATGGTTCAATAGGCCGATATTCTATAGATCCAACTATTCCCAGCGCATTACAGCGTTCCTCGAGCATATTGCACAAGGAGTCAACGCACTCCTTCTGCTTTCCCTCTCCATTGCAGAGGTACCCGTTCCTTCTGAGATAGAACTCCATCAGTTTGGGGCACAGTATTTGTCCGGCTCTCTGAGACTCGTTACGACTCTCTGTCGTGTCTTTTACGGACAATATGTTGAACAGATCGGGTGTGACATAGACTTTCTCCATGCGAAGAGCTTTCAAGTCGGGTAAGAGTCGAAGAAGGGCAACGATTTTGTCTTCAGTCGACTCGGTCACGGAGGTGTTACAGATCTCCAAGTATTCCAGAGGTGGCCGGTTCCGTTTGACCATGTCTACAAGACCCTTAATGTTTTGGTAGTTAGCAGGTCCGAAAGGGCCACAAATCAGGCGTCTCAGAGACGGAAGGATCAGGTTGCGTATGATGGACATAGAAACATTCGAGCCGTTGACCACAAGGGTATGCAGGTTATGTAGTGTTGTCGCGGGTAACTGGAGATCATCCGGTCCAGCTAATTTGCTCGAGACGAACTCGACCTCAAGGAATTCCAAATACGGTGCCTTTTTGACGATTTCCAGATGCTCCACCAGCCTGACTTCCGTCTCAACACCTTTGTATATATAAGTGGTAGAGTGGAGATCTGGAAGGGCTACATTTCGAAGTACATAATCAAGTCCGGTTAACCAACACTCACCAGGACTTACCGCCACCACATTGATCTAGTTGATTAGTAATAACTTTAGTCCATTAGAGGAAGTCGTACATTGCTCTTGCTACATATGGAAACGTGAAGCATATATCCGAGACCTATGCCTCCTGAAGCTTAACCGTTTCCATGTCTTGAGTCATCATCTGACTACTCTTTCTTGACAGGCCTTAAGCATCGAAAGCTTATCAGGAGTATCTGCACCAAAAAATGCGTGAAACTAGGACTTATGCACTGGGATGGAGCCAAACGGGTTTACTCGTAAAGACCATATCGTTCTTTTCATCTCGACAAGATCATTGTGTGTGGTCGGAGAATGGATATGGTAGCAATAACTGTACAGAGGCACCTGCAGCTCTAATCCGAGACACTGCCTCATACTACGCGTTCGACCAGTCTATCTTCATCCAGTGTGTATGGTCTATACGAGTTTATGTTTACATCTAACGAGACTCGTAGGGAAATTTTTCCTCGGATGCTTCGCGTCCCTGATTCTCATATTCCTCAAGCACATGGAAGTTCGAGCCACGCATTCAGAATCAATGAGCTACCTACAGATATTCTCAACGAGATTTTCCTACGTGTCGTGCGGATAGCACAGAAGGATGTGGCGAGTGAGGAATCTATGCTGGTGCCACTGCGCCTTTCGCACGTTTGTCGTACATGGCGCCACGCAGTTATATCGTGTGCATCTCTTTGGGCGTACATCAACGTTCTTGTGGATGTTTACCGCAGCACGGAACAAGATGAAAGGCTCGTAAAAGCTGTCGACACTTGTATCGAGATGTCCAAGGCAGCTCCGCTTAGCCTGTCAGTCACTTGCAATACCATCCACGTTCCAAAGCCGAAACTAGAAGTCGCGAGGTATATTCTTAACAGATTACTTGGTCAACAGCACCGCTGGAGGGTGGCTAATTTCGCCTTCAAAGAGATGGATCCTAGTAGATTGCCAGAAATTGAACTCATTAACGTGCCAATGTTGGAGTCACTCCGCATCTCTTGGAGGACGCTAGGGGCGTCTAATATGGCACAACCACAAGTACGTATTGACGCTTCACGTTCTCCAGGCCTCAGGTGTCTGTACATCAAAGGCATCCGTTTGGAAATCAGTGGTGGACAACTTTATGGTATAAAGGAGTTGACTTTTCACTGTACGATCCATAGTGTGACTGTTTCGCACAATTTCTCGAGGTACAAAAATCCACTGGGATCGCGCTCGCTTTCGGCCCATCGTTTTATCACTTTCGAAACTGAAAACATCCAGCTTCGATGATCTCCTCGTCGTAAATGAATTTTGCACAGGGAATACATATGAAACCCGCATGCCTCGGATCTCTCCAGCAGAAGCGATGCAACGCATGGCCAAAGAAGGTCGTATGAAGCTTGCGAATATCGCGTGAACATACAGTATTTCTGGGAGGTTTAGGGCACTTGGCGAATTCATACAATTTATATAAAGGGACTGCATGCAAGCTCCCAAGCACGAGAAGCTAACCCTGCCTCATTACTAGGTAGTTTGTCGCTATTCTCATCTCCGCCCGCAGAAGAAGCAAAGTGTGATCGCGTCGCTATCCTTGTTCAGTATTAATATTCTTTCACTATGCCTGGGGCAGCACTTCCTCCTTTCCCTGACAACATAAAAACGCATCCTCTCCTAGTTATTGACTATGCACTCGTTAAAATCGGGAGCAAGGATGAAATTGACAGGCTTTGGGAGGCTGCTACGCATCTGGGATTCTGGTAGTAAGTGTCCAGTCTGTTTCTGCACGAGATCCTAATCCCTAATACGTCAATGCTGTTCTCAGTCTGAAGAATCATGGAGTGGATATCGAAGTGGAAGGAATGTTTGATACGGCGACGGAAATAATGAGTCTCCCGCTGGAGGAGAAGATGAAATGGGACCAAGGGGACAGTGGCAAGTCATTTGGGTAAGCGCTGCCAAGGTGTACGGTTTGACATGCCAAGCTTACTATATAGAATAGATACAAGGCGAGGGGTGCAGTTGTGATGAATGAGTACGGTGACACCGATAATGTCGAATGGTTCAACGTCTCGAAGGAAGATGCTCTAGCATATCCCAAAGTCATACATCGCACCTATCCAGAACCAGTTAACGCACGTATGGAATCAACTATAACTCCGTTCGTGCGTAAGTCGACCGAAGTCCTTGAGACCATCCTTTCTGTCTTTGAGAAGAGGCTTGGCCTCCGAAGCAATGCACTCCTCGACTTGCACCCCAGGTCAGAGCATAGCGGGTCAGAGACCCGTGTCATTAAGAGTCCTCCGACACACATGAACATGGACGGCCACGTCGAGAAGAGCAAAGTATCAATCGGTGCTCACACTGATTTCGGATCCCTTACATTCCTGCACAATCGACTCGGTGGATTACAAGTACTGCCTCCAGGCACCGAAGAATGGCAGTATATTCTCCCTATTCCCGGATACGCAATATGTAACATTGGAGATTCGTTATCCTTGCTCTCGGGTGGTATCTTGCGCTCAAACATGCATCAGCTCCTGGCATGCAGGGTGTTCACCCTCGTTGGTCAGTCGTTTTCTTTTTGAGGCCTTCCAATAATGTGCTGCTCCGAGCTTTGGACGAGGGTAACATAGTGAAAGAAGCTCTTTCACATATGAATTCTGAGGAGAGAGCGAGGTATAATCCTGGTGTAACGCAGGGTGAATGGTTCGCTAGAAGAATGAAGTTCACAAGGCTTAATAATATCAAGGTAAGCTTTCATATATGCGAGTAGTTTGTGGCACTAACCCTTGCAACAATAGAGCCCAGAGACATTCCTTGCGAGCAGGGGAATGGAGCACAAACCTAAAGCAATATGACCGATTGATATTTATATCCCAGCGCAAGTAAACACAACTGTACATTGCAATGTAATATGGAGACAACAGCTTTGACATTAAAAGCAACAAGCGTACCGGAAACGAGACAGACGGGAAGTCATGCGAGAAGACAGGCAAGATCCAAGGGCAAACATTTCTTGTACTAGAACATCTGGATCAAACAGACAACAATAGAAACGACACGTTCACAGACGCAGCACGAGGTTCGAAGCAACCAGACTCACAAAACACGAGATGCCAATGTTCTAGATGCAATTAAATAGAAAATGAAACAAGACAGTTACCGAATGAAATACAATCCAGCCCTGGGAATAGGTGGCGGAAGCGATCGAGTTGTTCCATGTCCAGGATTATCTCGAGCGTTCTTGTTCGATCGGTTCTCAGACTTGTCCCGAGAGGATGTACGCATGTGTTCCCGACGTGTAGGATGAAGTGGCTGAACTACACCGTTTGATAGAGCTGTTGTTCTGACTTCGCCTAGCGGATATCGGACTTGTGCATGTCGCTGAGCGTCTTCAGGATTGGTTATGTCTCCTCCTATAGTGGGAACTTGCTGCTCGGTGAAAGAGAGGAAGCCTGGTACATCAGATTCCAAGGAGTGCGAGGGAAACGGGGAGGCGGAAAGGGAAGAAAACGATGACGAAGCAGTTGCAGGAGTTACTGGCGTCATTGGCCCAGTAAAAGCAGGGGACGATGCAAGCACAGAGATCAGAGCAACAGGCGAGCCATCAGTCAACTCATCTTTCTTCTCAGGAGTAGAGCCGGCAAGAGTCTCTTCATCGTTGAAACTCGTGTTCGAACTTGTTATAGCGGTCAAAGGAGTCCCAGGCGGGGTTGCTGTATCTTCGATTTTCGGTTGAGAGAGCTCCGCATTGCTGATCTGTACAAGGGAGGATTCGCCTATGTCTTCTTCCGCGATCGTTGTGAGAGAGGGTGAGAACGATGGGAAAACTGGCGAGATCGAAGCGGACTCTACTAATCCGGCCGGAACGTTGTCTATACATGCTTCGCCGTGTTGTCCGTCATTAATCATCACTTGCAGTGACTTTCGTCAATGTGAGGCGATCAGTAAGGCACAAAGCAAGAATGAACAATATTCTTACCATAAAAAGCTCCTCCAATCTCTCAATCGCTTTGTCGACAGAATCCATCTCATCGCTCGCGACGTCAGCGTCAGCGTCTACACTAACATTCTCTGCAGTACATCCCTCAAGCAAACCCTTACTCTCTGACTCGACGATAAACACCGAAGATTTCTCTGAATCAACACTGTTCACCTCCACATCGTTCGACCTTGCAAAGCTGAATCGTTTCAGGTTCGTAGCGATAGTAGACATTTCTTCGCACATATCTCCGGTGAAGAAGAGTGCGTTGCTTGCAATGCTTGCGTCATGGGGCGAGCTTGCATTGGAAATAATAGATTTCCGAAGACTTCGTTTCGTAGGCTTTGGCGAATTGTCCGGTGTATTCGGAGGAGGTGCAATCGCTTTGCACAAGTCAACTTCGCTCCTAGTGATAACGATGACTGGTATACTGTCGTCTTCCGTGGAACTCGCCTTAATATCCAGGACTTCACTGAAATCGTCCTTGGTCTTGTCCTTGGCTCCCGCAGTACGAGGTGCCTGAACTTCCAACGAACGCTCCTTGTTCATTTCCCTCAAGTTCAACCGCGGGACGAGGACCTTCCAAAGTATGATTCCAGCAACGATCAGTCCGATCAAAGACACTGAGACTACGGGAGCAAGGAACTTGGTACTGTGCAAGAAGTCGTCTGAGTGAGAATCCGATCGTGAAGTGAGTGTGCGATGTTTGGCGTTGGCGTTGGATTTGGTGTTGATGGTCCAGAGGTTCTCAATACTAGGCATTGTACAATTTACCGAGATTCATCTGTTTCGAGGCTCGAAGACAGGGAGGAGACCTCTTCCTCTTGATGTGGTCGACCCAGGAAGGCGCGAAGAGAGCTCCAGCTGCAGTACCAGTTAGCCCAACTTATTTTGCATGTTGAGGCTGACAGCAAGACGAGTGCATCTGGTCGTGTTCAGAATTCTTCTACGCATGGTGTCAGCTCATGAATATTGATTCGCTGGGAGCGTAATCTCGAATATCCTGGAGATATTTGTATCAGCATGAACGAAGATAGTAGAATCTAAAAATAAAATAAAATACTTCAAGCTTCTGGAGGTGCCATGAAGGCCACCGAAAACAGGAAATCAGTTCATTTACTGGTCTACAACATACTCGTATAATTACACAATTTATCTACTACTTGGTCATTGTACACGTCCTGGTTGCAATATTGAAAAGCTGTTCTCGGTTATCTCCTTCATTCAGGGAACTTATCCTGCAAACTACACTGCCTCGCCATCTCAAGCTGTTCGTCCGTCCGACACACAAGGGACTTCATACCCTCTACTCCCGTACCAATCTCTATCACAACACCCTCCTTCCCATCCACTTGCTCATTCAACTTCTCGTCAAGCGCAAAGCCAACACACCGACATCTCTCAAGCACCGCCTCCCTCAACCTTGCACTCCTCTCCCCAATCCCTCCACTAAATACAAGCGCATCCACACGTGGCGCTCCACCAAGTTTCAACAAATACGAGCCCACATACCCCAATATCCGATCCACGAACAAGTCAAATGCAAGTGTTTCGTTAGGGTACTCTTTCTTTCCTGCGCGTTCTGCAATTTGCGCAAAGTTCGTTGTACCAGCGAGAGCTGCCCAGCCGCTTTCTTTGTTGAGGATCTCTTCTGCTTCGGTGATCTCGACAGCTTCGGCTGCTTGGCGGGAGATACGTGCGGCTGTATTTGTATAGTGGAAGATGAGTGACGGGTCAACGTGTCCTGAACGTGTCGCGCCTGGAAGTCCGTCGAGAGGTGTGAGTCCCATAGAGGTATCCACGCTCTTCCCATCTTTAATCGCGCATACCGAAGCGCCGGAACCGAGATGCATTACGACAATTGACATTTTGTCGATTGGCTTCTTGAGATAACCAGCAACGGCGCGTACGATGTACGAGTCTGAGAAAAAGAAACAAGTAGTTAAGATTAGTGTCAGTGTGAGAAGCCAGGAAAGAAGTCGAAGACAAGAACGAAGGTGGAGGGTGATGTCATGGTCGGAAGGGATAAAACGGTTCTAGAGCCAGTTGAGGAAGTCGAGAATTTTAGAAGTCGGGATGATGACATGCGAAGACGAAGACTTAAATTCGAAGGAGGAAAACAGTCTAAAAGTCAAAGTCAAAAGGCTGATACTCACACGAAAGACCGTGGAAGCCGTATTTACGCAGTCCCTTTGAACCCGCAACGTCTTGATTAATGGCATACTTTGCTACACAGTCCGGAAGTGTTGAATGGAACATTGAGTCGAAAAACGCGATAGAGTCGGCATTGGGAAGAATCTTGAGACAGGCCTCGATGACGTTGAGTGCACGACCATTATGTCTGAAAAGCAGAGAGTCAGTAAAGTCCAGGAATAAAGTCGAAGATCGGCCACAGGAAACATAGCTTGAGGTAGCTTTTGGATCTAAGTGAAACGAGAGACGCCGGATAAGGACTCACAAAGGCGCTAGATCCGAAAGACTTTCGATATGATGATAAGACTCGGTTGAGATAAGAACCGGTCCGGGATAATCGCCACCATGAACGACACGGTGGCACACATGCTTCACATGGTCTTTCTCGAATCTGGTGTTCTCAGCGAGAAAACGGACGAAATACGCGAAGCCGCTCTCGTGGTCCTTTATTTCGTGTACTTCGGCATTCTTGAGTTTCTTGTCCGAGACGCCGGGTACAGCAGCGGAAAAGGAGAAATGCGCGGGAGGAGAAGTGAGGTTCTCGATGGAGGAGGTTAAGAGGAGAGAAACTGGTTCGGAGAATGGAGAGGAAGAATCGTAAGAGGTGTTGGGCGAAAAGACTGAGATTTTAAGAGACGAGGAACCAGCATTCACTGAGAGGACGAGGCGTCTGTCCTTGTCTTGAGCCATACTTGCGAGATACTAGACTAGCAGTCTACCAGAGTAAGCGTATATGTATATAATGTAGACGATATGGGGTCTTCAGTGACCAGACCACATGTTTAAGATGTCTGGGCTGCACTGCAATTGGTGATAGAGACCGGGGGCTGTGAAGGCTGGAGAGGAACTAGATTGGATGACTTCCCGTAAGGCTTTCTGACGAGAAAAATACTAAAAACCGTGTCTAAATCATCGGTCCGAAGGGAACCGACTAGTGTACCATAATTTCAGTCAACAACACCCCATGAATAAACTTAAAATCTGTACAGGGGGGGGTACCCCCCCTGTACAAACCTCAAAACTTGAGAAATACATTCATAATAATAAATATGGTAATATAGCCGACGCTTATGACAGTATCCCTGATTGCCTGTCACTTTGTCATCGGAGTTACATCTGTATTTAGTATAATTGATGATCAACATGTTCTCTCAGAACATTTGCCCTTAGCTATAGCATCTATGAATCTTGGTGTTACGGGAAGCAAATTTTGTCTAAATCTATCCTATCTCGCTTATATACAGAGTTTATGAAAATAGGATGCCTTTTTTCTAGCAGAATTCTTACGGGAAGTCATCCATTATCAGTAATATCAGTGAATAAACGGATGGACAAGGGTCATTTGACGGGAGTAGTAAACAGTTCCGATGACCTCAGGGATGATGCATCCACTTGAATCCGAACAGTTCCGCTCCCAAGCCAGGCAACCATTCACTTTCTGGGCCTCTTGTAGGAATAATTGTTCAATAATCTGTGAAACGCGATATAAGGTGTAGCTGGGGTGGCCGCCTATCGTTGGGCAACGTCCAGCTCTCTCGACCGAGTCGTCGGGATTCGGCGCGGCTGGTTTCCCACGCCATGATCTCGACGCGCTCATGCGGTTTTACAGCAGGTCATGCACCATCGCGTCTCGGACTCTCGGAGCACAGCGCATTTCTGGCTTTCCTCTCACAAATGATAATTATTGCCGTCCAGCATCCGACTCTTCGCGCAGCGTCCGGCAAGGCGTCTGCAAGGAGTGATCGAGGTCCTTCCAGACAATGAGCCCAGAGTGAGGACGTAAGAATGGGATGCCCTGATCCACATCTCGGCGAGGATAGGCTGTATACTTATGTGCATATATCAGGAAATACTTGGTATGACATCTGAATGACGATCCATATAAATACCCTGTCTCATCCCGTCCTCACCTGTCTCCAACCAGTCCGCGACCACCAGCTTACAGTGTAAACTCTACTACAAATCACTCCCGTTAAGCAATCTCTCGTGCTCGACGATGCCTGCTCAACTCTTAACTCAGCCAAATCCGCCTCCCGAAAAGTCCCTGCTTCCGAAGGAGTTCGGTGCGCTTAGCGTCAAGCTCGACCTCAATGTCCTCTCCCAGGAAGAGCTTAACGATGTCAAGGCATTCCGTCGTGCGGCTGATTATATCGCTGCTGGTACGTGCTCCTCTCTGTACCTCATGGAACTCATCGTTGACGCTCTTTCTGTCGCCCGTCAGCCATGATCTTCCTTAAGGACAACGTCCTCGTTGAACGCAAAATCACCTTTGATGATATCAAACCCCGTCTTCTCGGCCATTGGGGAACTTGCCCAGGCCTGTCGCTCATCTATGCTCACCTCAACCGTCTCATAACCAAGCATGATGTTGATATGCTTTATGTTGTCGGTCCGGGTAAGCCACCACAGTAATGATCGATATATGCGCCTTCTTACACTTCATTTCCTCAGGACATGGTGCGCCGGGCATTCTGTCTTGCCTTTGGCTCGAAGATTCCCTATCTACATTTATTCCCAAGTACTCCCGTGATAAGGAGGGTCTTGGTCGTCTCATCTCTGGTTTCTCTACTCCTAGCGGATTCCCCTCTCACATCAATGCCGAAACGCCAGGATCAATCCACGAAGGCGGAGAGCTTGGCTACGCGCTTTCTGTCGCGTTTGGCGCTGTTATGGACCAACCAGATCTAGTTGTTGCCTGTGTTGTTGGCGACGGTGAGGCGGAGACTGGTCCGACTGCAACCGCATGGCACAGTTATAAGTATATTGACCCTGCAGAGAGCGGGGCCGTCATTCCAATCGTGCATGTCAATGGCTTCAAGATCTCCGAACGCACTATTTACGGGACCATGGATGACCTCGAACTGTGTGCTCTTTTCAGGTCAGCTGCTCTTCGGTTGTTTATCCTATCTTTATCGCATCACTCTGACATCCCCATGTTCCACCCCTCGTTTCGTCCTATCGCTTCGCGCCGTGTCCACTAAATTTAATTTACTGGACATGAAATCATTTGCTAATCTGTGTCGGAATCTCAAATCCCTGGAATTTCCATAAAAGTGGCTACGGTTACCAAGTTAGGTTCGTCGAGGACCTTGAAAATATTGACCAAGACATGGCCGCCTCGTTGGAATGGGCGCTTGCGGAAATCAGAAAGATCCAGAAGGCTGCACGCAGTGGTCAGCCGATTGTCAAGCCCCGTTGGCCGGTCCTTATCCTACGCAGTCCAAAGGTCAGCACACGTTCATCCTCAGCCTCGTTCATCTCCCTCTTCCGATGCCTTCCCTCATCTTTCCGCATTTTCCTATCACTACCTGTATCGCTGTGGTACTGAGGACTTTTCTTCCATACAGGGCTGGTCCGGTCCAAAAGCTTTCCACGGTGAATATATTGAAGGGTCATTCCACGCACACCAAGTTCCGCTGCCCAATGCAAAGAAGGATAAGGAAGAACTCGAGGCATTGCAAAAATGGCTCGACTCATACAAAATTACCGAAGTTATTGACGCCGCGACAGGCTGTCCACTCGACCATATCTTGCACATCGTCCCTCCTGCTCCCGGAAAGCGTCTTGGCCAGCGCAAAGAGGCCAATGGCGACTACAGCCCACTGATCACTCCCGACTGGCAGAAGTTGGCAGTGAAGAAGGGCACGCAGGAGAGCTGCATGCAGCGGATTGGCAAGTTCTTGCTCGAAGTTGTCAAAGAGTCAGTTTTCTTCTATTTTAGGCAATGCGTCTTCTGACTTTATGCGTATCCAGGAATCCGAAGACGTTCCGTATCTTCTCTCCAGATGAACTCGTCTCGAATAAGCTTGACGCTGTCTTCGAGGCGACAGGCCGTAACTTCCAATGGGACGAGAATGCGCGTGCTTCCGGCGGACGCATCATTGAAATTCTGTCAGAGCACACATGTCAAGGCATGATGCAAGGATATACTCTAACGGGCCGAACTGCCCTCTTCCCATCATACGAGGCTTTCCTCGGAATCGTTCACACGATGATGGTGCAATATGCCAAGTTTGTAAAGATGGTTTGTCAAATATGTTTTCCACATGTTTCTTGAAACCTGATCGACCTTAACCTAAGGCCCATGAGACCACTTGGCGTAAGGACGTTGGATCCATTAACTACGTCGAGACCTCTACATGGACGCGTCAGGAACACAACGGGTTCTCGCATCAGAACCCGAGCTTCATTGGTGCGGTACTGAACCTCAAGCCCCAATTGGCGCGTGTGTACCTGCCACCAGATGCAAACTGCTTCCTTAGCACTGTGTCGCACTGTTTGCGCGCGAAGAACTACGTGAATCTGATGGTTGGTTCGAAGCAACCGACGCCTGTTTGGCTTTCTCCTGAGGAGGCGAATGCGCACTGTATTGCAGGCGCGTCTATTTGGAAGTTTGCTAGCACCGATAGTGGTGTCGATCCTGATGTGTACGTCGCTCCGTCACCTTCATGAATGAATGAATGAACATCCGCCCAATTTCTCATGATGTTCTTAGTGTCCTTGTTGGTATTGGCGTCGAGCTTACCTTCGAGGTCATCGCCGCAGCAGCCATTCTCCGAAAAGAGGTCCCCGAACTGCGTGTGCGCGTCGTGAACGTGACCGACCTTATGATTCTGGGTCCCGAGAGGTCGCATCCGCATGCCCTACAGGATGCAGACTTCATCTCGCTCTTCACCGCTGAAAAACGCGTGCATTTCAACTACCACGGCTACCCCGGCGAGCTCCGTGGCTTGCTCTTCGGACGCCCGAATGCGGGACGCATGTCTATTGAAGGGTATAGTGAAGAAGGTACGACGACAACACCATTCGATATGATGCTCTCGAATGGCGTGAGCCGTTATCACGTCGCGGCTGCGGCGGTGCGCGGTGGTGCATTGGTCAATGAGAAGGTTGCTATTGATGCTCAGAAGCGCGTTAGTGACTTCATGCATCGTGCGCAAAAGGCACGCGAGTATGCAAAACAGCATGGACAAGGTTCGTCTTTTCGTGTCCGTACCTCCTGTCGTTCAAATACTGATTCGGACCGCGCGTTATAGATGCGGAAGATACTTATGATACTCCGAAGTTCGAGTGATCAGTTTGTTGTTGCTCGTTTCTCAAGCTCTGTATGAATGCGACGGGGGGTAACTTGGACGATGTAAAGTAAAAGTGTACAAAAGTGTACTTGTATCTCGATAGTGTCATGATTTGAAAACCGGTTATCGTCCTTGACACGCGCGAAGTCTGACTTCGGATACAGGGTTAGAAGGCTTCGGACAATGCATATATCCATAGAACCTAAGTCTGTCTAAAAGCATGCGTTATCCTCTCAGATGAGCCGTGCACATAGAAAAGCCTTTAAAGCACGTATAACCATGGCCTTCGACCAATGTTCACACCTTTTTCCTGCCCCGCCAAAATGGACTCGTTGGTATAATTTGGTTTCATTTTCGGATCTGAAAAGCACTTTTGATATAGAGCCTTTCTGTCGAGATCACTCACAATAATGAGAGATTGGGGATGCAACTATAGCCCCGGGGGAAACACTCCAAGAGAATTGATACCGAATAATTTTTCCATTCATTTAAATATCTATCTGATATAACTTTTGTCCAATAGTTGAGTCATGGATAATAGGTTAAATAACAAACGCCACCGGGATAATCAAATTGATGAAACGCGGAACCTGCTCGACAACGGTTCTAATGCTGTTGTTGCTCAGATCCAAACACCTTGTAAATGATAGAGTATGCAATTGGTCTTGGATTTCAAGCTTCTCATTTAATAAACGTGAGGGCCTATGAAGTCGAATGTTTTGAATTATTGACAGACAGAGGTATTTATTTTCCGAATAAGGCACGTTTGGTAAATCATTCGTGTCAAACCATACCCTTTTCGGGCGATGGCAGTGTTTCTCGGTATCTGGCCCTCCCAACAGCCTCCTCACCTCATCACACTCTCCTCGCGCAGTCCACGTATCCTTTCATTCCCACTCTTTCTCTGCTAATCTACCTACCGCTCTACGGTGGACTGAAATTCCATGTCACGTAGCGGCTACTCGGCACTCCCCGTCTCCCAGGAGTCGCACTACTCTGCAGCTGAGGATGAGATGGAACGGGCGTTTGAGTCAGACGACGAGGATCATGAGAATACCCCTCTAGCACGGATCCCTGTGCCTTCGGTACAACCTACCGAACCCACACAACCTCGAGAAGGAACCTACGATTTTGAGAGGGAGTACGAGTACGATCGCCCTCCCCCAGGTAGTCCACCAGCTTCAACACCACCAACTACTGCGTTTGGAAACTCCAATGGAATTATTCCCTCACCATCAGATATCCTAAGAAGAGAACCAAGGACCCATGGGGCGAAACCGTCTTTCTTCCGCAGAGCTGTTGGTGCGCTGTTACCACAGCACTACGCACGTATCCCATCGTCGGAACCGGAAGTTCGCGGAAGCGGGTTAGAGAACGATGGTGTTTTCTCGAACGTTTCCGCTCGACCGACTCCTCCCAGGACGGTGCAGGATGACAATGGGGATGTTCATGTCATGCCAGAGGATGCGCAGAGCGACGTACCACCCGTGCGTAATTAATGTTTCATATCAAAACTAATATTTGTCAGGTCATTAATCAATGTTGCTATATTTGTAATTTTATAGTCCTACGCCGCTGCTCAAGCAGATTCCGCTCCTCCATACTGGGAGACGACTATCCATGCGCCTTCTCTCGGAGGTGCAGATGACTTCCTCATTGAGGGCTTACCAGCCGGGACGATCTTCTCATTCGCATGGAACTTTTTGATATCCGTCTCCTTCCAGTTTGTGGGATTCATGCTCACATACCTACTACACACGTCGCATGCGGCAAAATATGGCTCGAGAGCTGGGCTCGGTGTCACGTTGATCCAATATGGTTTGTTCTCCAAAGCATCAGGCGAGGACATTTTTAGGGATGGGAATGATGAAGAAGTTGGTACTACGTCGCTGAGCGGGAAGATACGTCGATTTTGGGCTACGACATCTGATGACCAGGAAGGAAATCCCCCTATGTGGATATCTGGTAGTGCTATGCATGATTGGATATCGTTCCTTTTGATGACTGTTGGTAAGCCTGACCTTGGTACTCTATTTAACTGCTCTTTGGTTTCTCTAACGTAATTGTTGTACAGGTTGGGTTCTCCTTCTATCCTCTATCCTTGGTTTTGCGCGTGTAAAGAGATGGGAACGAAGCATTCGAACACCAACACCTCCGCCTGTGATCACTCCCGAAGATCAGCAACGCGACGAAGAAGTACGGCAACATCTACGGGATGTCTTTGGGTTCGACGTGATTACAGCGGAGGATATCCAAGAAGAGAGCCCTACGGAGACAGAACACCCAAACCCGAATCAGAATCCACATGCCGCGCAAGTCGAGGAAAGAATGCGGCGAGACTTGCGTGCGATGGGGCTTATCTAAGTACAATAATGTTTATACGTCTACATACAATGCTGTCCTGCTGCTTACCAGTACATCTGATGTCTTTGTGCCTTTATCCCATTCCCTCGGTTGTCCAAATGTCTAAATCACCTTCGTTACTTATCGCTCATCACTTATCAATGCTGTGTACTTTCGTCTTTTGTGGACGTTGCGGTTTTCTCTTTGTATAACATTTTTACTTTGTGCATTACTCGCTCTCAACATTACACTAGCATTATCATGACAATAATAAACAAATATCGACACCAGAGTCGGACAGGACGAATCCTTTCATGCTGCATGCCTTTCTTTTCGACAAAGTCTGAACAGACTGCTCATAAGGAGGTACTCCTTTAACTGTAGTTATACTTATCGCATTCACGTGTCCTGCTGGTGACGGTGCTGATGGTCCAAGCAATAATTCTCTTAAAGTTAAATGAGCACCTTCTGCGACGGAGTCACGTCTTATTTCTGGATTGACTTAGATTGCTGTCCGACGAGCCTTACCTCTGTTCCCGTACCCTCTGCGTATCTCTTTATAAAACTAAGGATCCTTTGGCTTTAACGTCGCTCTTACATTGAACCACGCAACTGCGCCTCTAGCTATTCTCAGTACTCTGTGTATTCACCTCGAACTTGAATATTTAGATACTCGAGTATTGGTGTGCTCTGAGCAGGATGATCGATCTCTGGTCATCTAGCCAAGTCAATAATAACAATGAACAGGATCTCCACCCCCCCTCAACAATCGTCCATAACTCGGAGGCTACACTAGTAGCCGTGGAAAGTACTATTCACGAAGGAGATAAAGGAGACTCGGAGGAAGAGAAAGAGGATGACGAGGAACAAGTACTCATACCAAAAGTGACGTTCTTCCCCTCCCTGAACGACACTCGACGAGCTTGGATTCTATGCAGACTTCGCGAGGAGTGTGTTATCTCGGTAAGTATTCTTCTTATGCTTTCATCGATGGACGTCTGGTATTTTAGACGAATATTTCTCGAGCCACTTAATTATTTTATATTTTTATGATTTTAACAATATAATATCAATTCAATTGGCCATCCATATTTATCCTTCCTTCAGCCAATTACTAACGAATAAACTTTATTTTCTTTATCTATAGGTCCTGGATATAGGTTGCGGCGAAGGCACACTCCTTAGTTGTCTCTGCAACCCTCCCGCATTCCTCGACACTTCAAAAGAAAACAAAGAACAAGAACAAAGATTCGACGAGATATATTCAAGCTCAACAGACGGTCTACCTGACTTACACATCTCCCATCTCGCGGGGTTGGACATCGCTTCACGAGCTCTGACTTCCTGCATCGCTCGAACTGCGCCTGAGTCTCATTTATTTCAATATCATCGTGATGATTTACCGAGATGGGAACCATTGGAAGTCAATATCTGGCATGGCTCGTTGAGTGTGTATAATCCCGAATTTGTTGATGTGGAATGTATTGTTTCGACAGAAGTGTAAGTTGAGTAATTGTTTATTCAGTGGCGAATCCATGCTTGCATTTACTCACTCACATGTATTTGTTACTCATGTTATTAGGATAGAGCATCTTCCAGAAGACGTTCTCCCCGAATTCGCACCAACATTACTTGGCATATACCGTCCCCGACTCTTACTCATAACCACTCCAAACTACGCTTTCAACGCTCGCTTCTCAGCACCAGGAAGATCCCATCCCGGAGGCATCCCAGACCCAACTCACCGCACAAACAGAGCCTTCCGGCATTCAGATCACAAATTCGAATGGACACCTGCAGAGTTCAAAGAATATTGCACAGAAGCTGCATCCGCGTGGGGCTATACCGTTGAAGTAGACGCAATCGGTCTCGCGAGGGAGCCTGATCCGTGGGGAAGGGATGAAGAACTCGGGGGCGCATCTCAAGTCGCTCTGTTCCGTCGAATAGACACTTGGCAAGGTCGAAAACATACAAATGCGTTACCACCAGAAGAAAGCGCCCATAAGTTACTCGCAACACACACTCACACTCCTCACCCACAAACGGGTAAACCCGAGTCATACGACAGTGTGTGCGAGCTTGTAAGCAAGCACATGATGTCCTATTACTTTGACGAAGGGTATTCAATCTGGGACTTATGGGTTGGGAACACAATATCGATAGCATGTGGCGGGCGACTTGATGTCCTGCTTGATGCTATTGACTCTTCTCCCGAAATGAGCCTGTTCCGGATGGAAGGAGTGCAAGCGAGAGAGTGGAGAGTCAAGTTCACAGGCGAGAAACACGAGGAGGCAGTCGAGGCGGCGAAGAAGACACATTATTGGTCGAGGAGCCCGCTGCAGAGTCCACATAATCCAATTAAAGACGATGAGCAATCCCAGAATGGGTATAAGGAAGTGACCTCCAATTGGCCGCAGATACCGCTTGATTGGTCTAGAGGTGCGGAGGAGTGGTGGTCACTGGGTGATGAAGCAGAGTAAATAAACATAGACATAGGAGAAGCAGAGAAGCAAAATAGAGACAGATTCATAGACCTAAATGTCGTTGTTCGCGGGTATCGATGCACATGAATACAACATCGCTTCCGTCTTTACCCGGCCAAAAATCAACAATACACATCGAAGCATCCTAAATCGCGAAGTTCCATGTGTTTCAAAAACTTGATTATCTGAGAAATGACAGGCTGAATGGAACCGCGTGGAATGAGATGAGATGAGGTGAGGTGAGATGCCATGAAACGAATAAGATTAGACTACGAAAAGAACAGAACAAGTGGGCGTGGCGACAAGTCGGAAGTCCGCACGGTGTACGAACGAAATTGCGATGACAGACAGAAAACGCAAGCGAAATCGCGTGAAAGTGCGACATCAGAGCTCATCCCTCAATTATAGTTCGTTTGGGCGCTAAGAATACGAAGAAGTACAAGAATGGTTTCAGCATTAGTGAACACCGTCTTTGCGAAGCTGGTGACAAGTGCGGACGTACAGATGAGTGGGTGCAGTTGTACGAGATACGTGACCATCCACATCAAGTAGCAACACGAGAGTGTAAGAAGGACAGCAGTTCGTATCAAACTGCGGAATGGACAGAGTTAAATCAGCCAAGCAGAAATGAGAACGAACAGGAGTACATACGTTTGCTGTGGGCCTTTGGGTGTTCCAAGCCATGTAACGGCCATAAGTCCAAGGACGATCACCAAAACAGCGAATACAGGAAACCCAGAGGCCATGGTGGTAAGGTACTATTGACCAGGCAGATGCACTGGTTTAACGTTAAACGTAGGTGTGGCGGACTGCCGAGTGCTGAGAGTTAGACGCGTCTCCCGTGAAGGCCTGCCGTATATGGCAGGCTACTTCCAATTCCGGATATACGTGAGGTCACATTACTACCGCTCTCATGAATCATTGAATACCTCAACACATTCACTTGACTGTCCATACTTGAAAACACCTAATCATTGAATTCTACACTACCCCATCCAGAATGAAGAACAGCAAGTATAGAGAGGTTCTTTGGAACTCCCCTCTTTTGAGTCATGGCGAACATCCCGCGTGTCCTAAGTAAGAAAGGCGAGTTGAGTCACAACTCTGCAATGATTCTGCAAAACTTCATGAGATAGAGAGCTCTATAATTGCGCGTAAATTTCATGAGCAATGTCACATGCTTTATGTGTAGCCGGTCTTTGCGGCTACTGAGGCCGTAAGCATCAAATACCAGCACTTCTAGCTGTTTGAGCTGAAGATTCTTGTTTGGAGGCGTTACGTATTGTGGATACGGTACCGAGTTCAATATCCCGCCTGACCGACCTCGGGACTTGATCAGCACATGGTTAAACAAGCCTGAATTTAAGCAAGCTGGAACTACGATGAATCTGCTCCATGTGGTCGAGGGAAACAAGCTCAGTAATTGACCCAGCACCGCTCCGTAGATGAGTCTTGCTTATTAGCTGTGCACCCTGCATCTTCGTTTGACGTCATTCATATTCAAGACTCTGCGCATTGAGCCTTCTTTACGGCCCATTAGGCGGATTGTGGACACAGTTTGCTTCTTGTCATACCTGTTTTGACGTTCTGTGGTAATCTGCTTCGACATGCGTTACGGATTGGTCAGAGATTGAAGATAGCCACAAGACGGTGCGCTTTTCGGTTCATTTCGAAAGCTTAAACAAATTGTCCTCGGCGGACGTCGGTCTTTTAAGATCAAACGTTAAAACAATATTGTAGGTGCGTTCTTACGACCCCACGGCGACCTGCAAAGGCAACCAATGGCATGGAACGGGGATGGATTTGGGATAGAACAGAGAAAAACAAGGCGACAGATGGAAGTGGGCGCAAGGAGCAATGAATAGCAACTGCACCCGGACACACTTGAAGAGAACGAGGACCAACCTCGGCCGCGTAGATTCGAAGAGGTGAACGAGCGCGGAGATCGTCGCGTGAGTAGGGTGGAACTTTGCGGGGCGATAGCCGTTCGATATTTCGAGGTACATTACTATATTTGGAAGAGCTGGAAAATAAATGATATGTGTTAATTCTGATTGGTCATGATGACACGATCGCATTCAGTCCTGTGCTGTGTGCATGCGATCTCCCGCTTCTTCTGCTCTCGCTCTCCGCGCCAAACTCCTTTCTTTCTCTGTCCACTACCATCCATTCCCAGTCCACTAAACAACTCGCTTTTTTCTCACCGGACCCGTCGGAATGGGTACCATGCCCTTACTAACGCCTACTGAATCGTACAAATTCCAGTCTGCACTTCTCGACTACTCGAATGGTATTGCGTCTCCAGAGTGGACGATGTACACCACAGACGTTCAGGAAGAATACTCGGACCGCCAGCTGCCACCGCGCAGAGAAGGCAGCGAGCAGCTCGCAAAGGCGACGAAGGATCTTATCTCGCTCGACTCAAACCCAAGCCGGTGGAATGAATCCGCGGACCGTGAGGTCTTGACTACGGACCTTCCCGTGACGTCCCCATTAAACATGGTCTTCAAGCCGCCCGCCGCACCCACCTCATATGCAATCCCCTCGCCTCTTCAGCGTATTACCTCTCCTCTCCAGCAACTTCTTGGCGGTCAACACCAACAGGTACAAAGACCTCCGTTGACTGTCACACCGAGCCACACACTCGAAAACTCCGCAGCATCCGATTCGCAACAGAGCGTAAGCTCCGTGTCATCAGACCCAACACCGCCGCCCCCAACACCGCCCGCGCTGAAACGACCGTACCCCTCGTCTTCGGACCTATCTAATCTTGCCGGTCCAAGTTCGAGCTCCGACGTTACCACGTCGACGGCTCGACATCCATGCAAGAAGCAACGCGGGTCGCCACCGCATCAGCAAGGACCGGTCCTCAATGCCAAACCATCTTTATTATCTGCTTCTCAGAAAAAGGCAAACCACATCCAATCTGAGCAAAAGCGGCGTGCGAACATTCGAAGAGGGTATGAGGCGCTCTGTGAGACTGTCCCGGCGCTGCGCGAGGCTATTTCTGCGGAAGAACAGGAGCTCGCTGCGGAAGCTGCTGAGAACGAACAGAAGGGAGGGAAGGGGAAGAGTAAGAAAAAGAGCCGAGCGAAACGGGGTATGAGTGAGTCAGGCGAGAAGATGGATGGCCGAGCAGGCCCACGCAGCGAAAATGTTGTTCTACAAAAAAGTATGCTTTTCTTCTTATCTGGCTGGCCTCTGAGAGCCAATAGCTTATTTTCTCCACAGCAATTGACTATATCCATGACCTACTTGACGAGCGCAAGTCACTTCTGGATAGGTTAAATAGTGCTCGACGTAAACTTGCGCCTGAACATCCTGCTCTTGTTTCATTACAATCCGGGAACGCACTGTGGGAACGTGAATGGACAGGCGGGCAGGGCATATTAGAAGATGATGGTTCTGACGACGAGGATGAGTCGTAGTGTTGTTATCTTATCAATTCATCTCTTCCTTCGTCCTTTCTTGTCTGTCCTCTTGCCGCCTCACCTCTTTGGACCGGTCTATTTCTTATTTCGTTGTTGTACTGACGGCTCAACCCTAATTTTATGCGTATTGCATATACTGGAAAGGTTTATCTTTTTTGAAAGTGTTTTTATACCCTTCCTTCCTTTGAACTTATAATTGGTGCTCTTGTTCCCTTTTCCTTTTCTCTTGTGCTTCTGAACTCTACTCTCCTTTTCTTCTCCGTACTTCCATCCCTTTTTGATCATGCCCTGTCCAATACGCCTGCCCTGGCATTCGCTCCTTCTTTAAACCTTTTTCATCCCGGATTCTGATGATGTTAAAAAAGGAAAGCCAAAAGATGTACTAATAAATATATGATCCTTCGATCTCTGCAATTGACTTTGTATATCTCAACCCACTGTGAATTAAATGACTCAAATGAGTGACACATCGACGTCTCTGACTCGATGACTGTGCTGCCAATCGTTACAGTTTGCTCCTTTCAAGCAGGATCTGCGCATACTCTTGTTGTGGGGGTGCGCTTTTCCCTTGTGTTGCGCGTCCGTTCCCACGGCTTCCAATTAAGAAATTTATTGCTTATGTGATCAAATTTTGTGTCCAGTTAAAAGTAGTGATTGTACAGGAACATTTCTGTTCCCCACACCTAAGATAAAATAATAGAAAAATAAATTTCATGCTTCTGAGATGCAAATGAAACTTTTTACAGAAGGGATTCTCATTTAATTTGAAATAAGCCAAAATACAGCTGTTTTACACACCAAATCAGCTGTATCTTAAGAAGCAATTTTTTTCTAGCTAATTCCTTCTGTAAATCTTTTCATATTGAGTTTATATAGTTTTTCATCAATGTTTTGAAAGAGTTCACTCATCCCTTGATGAGAAGTAAAATAAAGAATGAAGCTCGAAAGTAATGAGTCACACCCTATCACAGTAGATTTGGCTGTTCATTTCTCGATTTTTTGTCACACTCGCGTCATCTTTTTACTCAGTGCTACTGATCATTAGCAAGATACACTTTGCATACACTGTATTAATTTTTACTCATTGTTTACCTTGGCTATAGTAGATGAATTCAACTTATTAGCACAATATTGTTCAGTATAATACATTTATATTGACCTAAATTTGATTACTAAATTTATAATTTAGGTACAAGTAGGCAGACACTTTGACCGCCACATTCTGACTGAAAATGGTACCGTCATGGACCGGTCCTTGTAACACTACATTTTAATTCTGAATTTACTTCATTTTCACACCTTTTAACCTCAAACAAAAAATACTAGATGAAAATAAATACTGTTTAACATTACTCTACAAATTTCTGTGACAAATAAATGAGAAATAAATTAGATATAAAGGATAGATGTTTTGTGCCCAAAAGAGCACATCACTATTCCTTGTAACACCCATTTTCCCACGATGTACACACAAGTAATCTACCTTGTCTGCATTATTTTTAAAGTCATTAAAGCAATATAATATTTGTATTGGACTTCTATATTAGTATACTCAGATATTTAAGTCAATATTTTAACTGTGTGGCCCTTGGTAATGAGTGTATCTCTTGACTGAATATTGCTCAGTACAGTCATGTGACTAAAATAAACTGTGATTTGTACTTTTTAATTTTTATAAATTGCAAATCTTAATGAAATTGTCTAAAAATTTGTATGTATGCTTATTTTAACATAACAGATAGTCTTGTATTTTTTAGTTGAAGTTGTGTTGTAGGAGGAGCCATGACTATCACTGGAAAATCTGAGCATTTTCTTGATTATCTAGTTTTTACCCTTATTTTCAACATAGCTCAACAAATTCTAATCTGTTTACCACAATTTTTTTACATACACTAGGAAGATATAATAGAAATTCATTTATATATTTTTTGAGGTAAAATTGTTGTGAGTAGTGGCACTATGTATAGGGTGTTACAAGGAATGGTGGTGTTACAAGGACCGGTCCATGACGGTAATTTTTCAAATTCCGCTCGGACGCATCTTACAACCGAAAAGCGCACCCCCACTTGTTGAACTTTCATGTGTTTTTCCGAGACCCTGCAGCACGTGCTGCCAACGTGATGACTCGGAGATTCAGGTCCGTGTACATTCGGGTTAGCCCATGACACAAAAAAATGAAGATTTCCCTATTCGGCGATAATGGTATTAGCAAATCTAGTTAGTTTTTTGCAGCTTGAGTCAAGCTGCATGCATGGATCGTGGTCAATCAGATCAATCCTGTTTGAGGACCTCATGCCGATGCCGATAGGATGTTATGACGAATGATGCAACGGCGGCCATGTGCTTGCTTACCTTTTACCAAATCAGTCAGTCACCAATAAAAAGATTCAAAATGCGAAGAAGATCGGTGCAATTCAAGCAAGGGTGGAATTAGATGGGCTTTATAACATCATGAACATGACATGACAGCGACATGATACTTTGGAAGGGCGGGTTGGGGTTAACTTGAGATTGACTGACTGCGCAAAGGGTGGAAGAGCAAGAAATTGATCAGTGGGGACAGATGATGACGTCAGATTATTCGTAGGCGTAATATAGTACAGGGTAAGGACATGATATTGCTTGATGTCAGTTGGGTTGGGAAAGGGGAACAGTAATAGCAAGAGATTTGGGTGCAAGTAAGAAAGGCGTGGTAGGTGGGTATGCGAGTCGGAATGAATAATGGTTGAATGGGAAAAAAGAACAGGACAACTCTAGTAATTTTCTCTCCGCTGGGTACTCATCGAGGTATTCGTGTAAGAACGATCATCACCTTCGACAAACATAACCTTTTTCTCCCAAGGGTTAAATACCTCTCATACCCAGGGCTGTCCATTATTTGTTTGAAATGAAATGATAAATGTATGCAAGAGCATATTTAGAGGGTCTGAGATATGACGACGTGTCTATGTTGATGATGGTGACAGGCGGCCGGGGCCACGTCAGCCCAAAGTCGGAAGCCAAATTATTTTGCTGGTCGCGTAAGCAGAACCGATGGGCAAGGGGCCGCTCAAACTCGCAATTGCCGGGCCGAAGCAACGTTTCGCGCTACCGAGGAGGCGCAAGGGACGAGAGCATGAGCGCCTGCACAAGCTCAGGTTTCCATTGCAGGCGACGAATCGCTTCGGCGTAGTCGACCCATTCGCGGCGTCGCTGGCCCTGTTCTAGCCAATTGGTCTCGAGTGAGACTGCGTCTAGCTCGTAGAAATGGTACGTCGCTGTTGCGCCGTGTATCGTCGTAACGAACTTTGATATCGTGCCGTGCACGCCCGCTGTTTATGAAGGAAAGAAGCGGCGAAGAGCGTGAGAGGGTGGGGGACGGGCAGAGGAGCAAAGGGTGAGACCTTCTTCCAAAGCTTCACGCGTCGCTGCCTTTTCTAACGTCCCATCGCTACTTTCCCATCCTCCTTTGGGTACTAACGGCGCAGATTCGAGGGAACGGACGCGAAGAGGGTGATGCACGTAAAAATGGGAAAGAAATAGCAAAAATGAGAAAATTGAAATAACAAATCGAAAAATTGAAATACTCACAAACCCAGCTATCCGCGTGTTTTCGGCGTGTTATAACTAGGACCTTACCTGACGGTCTCCAAATTGGAATGGCACAACAAACGACCCGGGGTGTTGTCCTGTTTTTGCTCATGGCGGAGAAAAGACGTGGCGAATGTGTGCGGTGTAGAAAAGAAGTAATCCAGCAAGCAAGATGACGCGTTCTGGGAGCAAACTGGAAAATGCTCAGACTGAGATGAATCAGAGCGCCGTCATGAGCTGAAGAGCACCGTTGCTAGCTGGGCCGAATCAAAACAGCTGTACAAGAATCCGAGACACGAAAATGAGCGCGCGTCGAAGAACGCTTGGAACTTGGCGTGCCTTTACCCTAGGAACGACTTCTTGTCGTTGCGTGCAACCAAAAAAGCCTCTTCTTGTAGGTAACCGGCGCGGCTTCTGGCAAGAGCACAAGCGGCGGCGGCAGTGAGTGAGCAAGTAAGGTATGAGGCAAATAGGCGTGTCTCACGGGCACAGGAGGCGGCGTTGGACGAGTTCCGGACGAAGGCAAGTTGGAGAAGTTGGGGAAGATGGGGGGAAGGGCAGAGCTGGTAGTGCGGTGGACTGTCGCTCAGACAGAGGACTTGTATAGATAGGAAGCGAAGAAAAAGGGCGAAGTCACGGTGTCGAAATTTCAAGTGGCTACCTCATTTCGGCAATCTGTCATTAGGTCATCATCCTTCGGCCAAGCACAGGCCAGGAAGCACGCACGTTCTTCGGCCACCTCGATGCACCGTTCTGCCTGTTCGCCCTGTTTTCCCGCGCAAAGTCGCCTCATCAGCACACGCACATCACTCGTGCTCGATGCCTAGTCTATTTCTATTGTGTCTCTGCTTCGGATCTTCTGGGCTTATTTAAACTTCCGTAAATTCGAATAATATTATAATAATCAACCAGCATAACTCCGACCACTCAACACTGTGTCGTTGCTGCTCAAGCTATCTGTATTAGTATTTCTATCGACATCTGCGGGATCCCTGCTCTCCTCCTATCACTCGTTACAGCGCTCATTCGTTCCACCTACGCACCAAGTCATCAATATCACCAAAGGCACCGAATCAATCCACTCCAAGCACTTACGCAACTAGAAACATGCAAGTCACCCCAAATGCCATGGCCGCAAACTGTCCAAGGTATCAAAGAATTGATTTATTAACAACCGACTTGAATGGACCTCTAGGGGAATGCATTGGGAATACACTACCTCACGTAACGCCTGTTTGACGCTTTTACTCTCTTCTAAGAGCCTAGATTAAAATCTACGCGTCAGCAACGGCCGTCAGAGAGATAAAGGACTTTTAACGGCGTACGTGGGCAGAACCGCCACTGCTCCAATATACATAAATCCGCCGGCTACGAACGGAATTACCTGGAAATATACAGTAAAGTCGCACGAGTAAAGGTCCAGGCGTCAAAACGAGTGCGAAAAATGATGGTTTAAGTATTCAGTCTGACCTGTGTATCGCTTTACATGACAGGGTGTTACTCACAAGATCCGCTAGTTGCACAGTTGTCCCCAATAGACCTTGAGCAGTCTGCCTTACCGCAGCGGCGAGGTTAACCGAAGAGGATACCTCATGACCTTCACCGCTCGTTGCCGACAGGTTGTGTATCGCGATACCCATGAACGTGCTTCAGTGGCGCATTTTAGTGGTACAGTTGGTCGTGGATAGGATAAGACAGCGGGTGAACAAACAAGGCCATCGGTTCAAATGTCCGATGCACGTAACAAGCAACGAGGAAACAGGAATTCGTCCAGATGAAAGGAGCGGATGAGAACTGCTTTGTTAGCCCGGCATCTTAGAAGAAAGCTATTGAGGGGAAATGTACTTACCCGATCTATCATCATTTTTTACGCCAGAGGAAGAAGTCGTTGTATTCGCACGTTGGTTCATGTCGTAGCGGGAGGATCGTTGTTGAGACATGTCGGATGAATTGATTTTTACGTTTACTTTAAGAGATGTAAATGAGGATCTACTGCTAGACGACTCACAAATGCTCCAACAGCAGTCAGATATTGGCTCTGCATCGCCTGGCGTTTGGAAAAGCCAGAGCGAACAAGGATAGAGTAGTCCGCAATTTCGTGTGGGATCTCATGCGCGAAGCAAGCAAGCGTCGTTGTTGCTCCAATTAGCGGAGATGAGTAAAACGACGCGGCCATGCTAGATCGATTACCACAGGGACGACAAAGTTCCGGAAAGGCACGAGTTTGTCAGTATTAGGGCACAAAGTTAGAGCCTCGGATGAAAGCAAAAGAGGAGTGGACTTCACGCACGCAAGCCCATCGGTGCTTTTAGGAAGGTGAAGCAATGTCGTTAGTACATATGTTTGATAGAGTTAAGGACTCATGGATACTTACATGTTATGAACAAAGTCGCCAAACAAGTTTAGATAGGCAGAAAGCTTAGATGGTCCGGAGGCTTTATGGCCTTGAACGTTGTCTTCGTGCTTATGTTCTGCGTTCCCATTTGAGACCTTCGCCCGTTCTGAGCGTGATCGGAGACCTTCTTTATTTGCCGGAGAGACACCTGAGCTCTCGCCGTTGATCACGTCCGGATTGGCATGGGAATGTGAGTGAGAATGCGAGTGTCCCCCTTCACCTTCGCCAGCAAGCACTCTAAGTGTCTTTTCCATAACGAAGAATGCAGCGAAGCCGGCAAAGATACCTAGCCTATAAAAATTCCGCCCCTTAATTGAGTGACTTCAGCATTCATAAAATAATATTCTTTACCCAACGAGTATATTTCGTTTTTCTTCAACCATGACGAAATGAGCGCCAGGCTCCTGATGCTCGCCCATGAAGGAATGCGGAACAAGATGCAGAAAGACATCCGACAGTAATCCACCGGTCTTGGCGACACAATATCAGCACTCTCATTAGCTAAAGCGAACAGAAGCGAAAATCATACAGCAAATGCAGTCATAGTGTTGAGGGTATCCGGATGAATCTGTGAAGGTATCACAGCTAAAATAAAGTTTGGAACACTGGACTTGATCTCAGTACAGGATCCATAAAATCATGCGTGGTGCACCCACGAGCTAATGTAGAATGTCCCAAGGACTTCGAATGGCTTAAGGTAAGAGTGCCAAACAGAAAAGGGGCAGCAGGTTCACCAGAGTTCCACCCAGCGCTTTCAAACGGGAAGAGGACAGCAAACACTCGACGCATGATGGGAGACTCGCCAGCCTCCACATCTTCCTTGATTGTGCTTAGACGTCGTACGGCCTCACATTGCTGTACGTCTGAAATCTATAACGTGAACACGCGTTAGAAATAGCTCTAGCAGTGTGCACACGACTGTAGGCGGATACGCGTTTCCAAAGTCATATAGACGCGAATCGCCCACGTGACGCATCGGCGTCCGAGACCAGAAACGACTTACCGTTACTGTGGAATGGAGAAGTGCATCCGAATTTTCTCCTTTTGACGATGATGCTAGAGAGAATAAACTAGCAAGAACGAGAATAATGAGCAGGAAGCGTCCAACGGACGGCCTGAGGAAAGGCATAGAGGTTGACACGACAGCAAAAGTCGAGATGTGTGTACCTGACTTTCCGTAAACAGAGTACTAATGTGTTACATAAGGAGCGCCGCCATCAGATTTACCAAGAATTTATTATTTTACACATAGCGGCCGTTGCAAACACGGTACAGCACGGCAGTACTGTACACAGGAAAAATCTTCCATAATACAGATACTGTCGAAGTCGAAAATACGGTTCTGATTCATTATTTGGATATGATCCATTTAGACTTCACTTGTGACGATATTGCGCCCATCCACACTTTCAAACCCCGCCTTTGACTAGAATGGTCCAAGAGTGGTCACTTGTCGCTGACATACTTGTTGAAATGACAGCATCTTATCCAACGGACGCTGAAAAATATGTGCTTCGTTCGGCGGAACAACTCATGGAAAAGACCATGAGCAGGTATGATCCCTCTCACGACGCGTATCATGGTATGTGCATTGGTATTTAATGATCATCTTTTGAGAAGTGTTCAAACATGGTTCAGTGCAGCGTGTCCGCCGAACAGCTCTTGCAATTGCCAATTCCTTGGATCCCAAACCAGATCTTCTCGTTGTTGAACTCGCTGCATTACTCCATGACGTTCCCGACAAGAAATACGTTGCTCCAGAACTCACAGCCGACCCGTTGGCATTCTTCATGCCATTTTTCACAAGTGTTCAAACCCATGTTGATTTGATCTCGAGTGGACGGGCTAAATTAATAACGAAGATAGTTGAAAACGTATCGTGGACTACCGAGAAAAGGCTTCGCGAATCAGGAGCAATCACTGAATGGCACGAATCTTGCATTGAGCTGCATTGTGTACAGGATGCTGACAGACTGGATGCTATTGGGGCTTTTGGTACGTTCCTTCTCCACAAGAGACCAAACCTTAGTCTATTTATGCTAAGAACATCAGGCGTTATGAGATGTTCGGCATTCAGCAGCGCGACAAACCGTCCATTGCATGTCCCCGAAGAAGACCCGCGTTACGAAGAATCTGCCGTTGCCCACTTTCATGACAAATTGTTAAAGATCAAGGAACGTCTTAGGACGGGACCGGGAAAGAAAATGGGACAAGAACGTCACGATTTCGTAAGAGGTCCAACACACTCATCTCCTTGGCACTTGGCTAATTTAATTTTAGATGATGACATTCCTCGCTGCTCTGGATAGAGAATATATTACTCTTGCGTAATGGCTGTATGTCACGCACAATTTTTCGTAGCACTCTATGAACTGATACTTGTCACCATGTCTAGTGCGACTGGGACCTCAGGCGATAGAAAGTTCAAAATTTTGCGATACTAACTACATCTGCATTCTCAATGAAAGCGGACAACCCAAAGAAAATCAAATCAATGAAAACCAAGGAAATAAAAACCATGCCAACTTAAGAGCAAACAAGAGAAGTCACAACCGTCGGTGCTGCGCTGGTCGCTGAGGCAACGTCATTGGCCCCCGACGCTGTTGCCGATGCCGAGATACCACCAACAGCCTGGGTGAAATACTCAACATGGAAAAACTCAAGGACTCTTTAAATTAGTGCACATACTGCGTTAATCTCATCCTCAGTCGCGTCGTCCACAAGCAAGTTCTGGGTGAAGATGCAGCCCACTGGATCATTCGCATCGTCGCACGAGTTGCCCTTCGCAGTCGGGTCACCAATCGTGCCTGGTGCAAAAGTACCTGACTGAAGTGCATCGAGAGGATTTCCACCAACAGATGCTATCTGCTTGGCGAGTTCAAGTACAATGGCTTTGTTCGTCGCAGCGGCGCCGTCGGACGCAGGGTCCTGGTGCTACAAGGAGGATAAGGATGTCAACAACATACTTGATAAACCACATTAGTTGGCATGAAGACATACTTGCTGGATTGCCGCAATCTCTGGGTTTACAGCTTGGATGGATGTGCAGGCATTGGTCGTTGCGCCAACAGATGCGGAATTACGTTCAAGTGCGCGGAAAATCAGTGCGTCGACCATACCCTGAACGTCACCGTCAGCCTTTGCATTCGTGAAAGCCTGGTCAGCAGCTGCTTGTTGTAAGCAGTCGGGATCCTATCGGAGTTGCACGCATGAATTTGAAACTCCAAGAAACAGACAACTTATAACATACGGTGATCTTGCCCAGACCTTGCGTAGCAGCTGCATTACCCAGTAGTGCGAAGACAGGGTCAACAATCTGGTCTGGGTTGTTCTTGTTCAAGCTGGTGCGCACAGAGGTCAGGAACTTTTCATGACTGTGCTCTGTAACAGATGTCAGTCTAGCTTTGGTCTATAATAAAGAAGAGAAAACATACCTTGCGGAACTTCACGCTTTGCGAGAAGCAAAGGCAGCGGACGAGCTGACGCTGCATACGTGGATGTGACGAGGGCAAGAATTGCTTTGCTACTGAACAACATGACTGCGGCTATGGTCCCGATGAATGAATGAAAGGCGTTTCAAACGAAGGACTAAAGGAAAACGGATGCAGACTATCATGCAAGATAAGCGTTAGTCTTAGCAGTATTCTCGACAGAAGGAACAGCTCACAAGTAAAGCACAGGACCAGCTCTGTGATAAAGGAGAAAAAGAATGAGCTCGTCATTCTCCCCTACATCCGTTTTATACTACGGACTGCTGTTCGCGCTTCCTAATACATAGCGACGCCGGGCCGGAAGTAAAAACGGCTCTTTGTAGTCAGCGTCGACGGCCTTCTCACGTCTTCACACCGCGCCCGCTTCTGATGGAAGAAGTCGGGATAGCTAGAATATTATTCCTCAAGGCACTCCGTTTACGGATTCTTCGACGACAAGTGCATCATGTTGCGATGGTGAATTCATTTTCGTCGGTGAATTCACGGACGCTTTCTCTACCAACCGCCTCTCCGATAATTGTGGCATACCGGCTTCATTAAACATCGGTCAACATACTAGACGGAAACTCGCTATATGAGTGTTCTTGAGAAATATCAGTTATGTCACGGGCCGTCGGTTACTACTCAAGCAAATAAGAACAAAGAGAGACGGAAGTACTCGACTCGAATCCCCTTGCCAATGCAAATCTACATCTTTCACACACAAAGTACTAGTCAACAGTGATCGGCTGCCGACTAAACCTTGTGCCTAATACAAACGGTGACCACTCAATCCTTTAAGTGATGAGGAAAGGGAGGGTCGCTCCTGTGCTGTCTCCGACGAGTCAGAATCAACACATCGTATAACAAGGATGGTATACTTGTTCGACGTAACTACAAGCTAAATAATACACATGCATCTAATGTAAATGCGATACGGCCGCGGGGTTTAAAAATCGTCCATATCGAAACCGTACATGAAATGCTGCAACGGAACTGAGTATACGTCCACGTTAGCAAGAAACAATGCGAACCTTGTATATGCTCATCACTTTGATTACCCAGGCCTCGAGATGAAAGATCTTCTTGTTGCCTTGGCGCATGCGAACCTCCTTTAGCAAGCCGATTCCCATGAGCAATGAATGGGTCAGGAGAGTAATATATGGTACCTTACATAGAATGCAGCCCAATGCATGACGTCTGCCTTGATAGCCTCATCTACCCGTTCAACAACGCGATCCGCGACGGTCTTTGAGATATTAGTTTTATCCAGATATTAGAAACTTAGAAAGCATACTTTCAGAACTACTGTAGCCGGAATACAATGACTTAAGAGCTCATAAAACTTGGCTCGGACTTCCATGACGCGAGCTGGCGTCTGCTCTTGCACAATGAGGTCTGCGACTTTATGACAATACGTCTCCCAGTCAGGCTTTGCGATAGTAAGTGGACCAGACAAGTCGGGTCTAGAAAAGTCGATAATAAGAAACATAGAAGCATGGCTCGAGTGATATCGAGTCACTTACGATTGCATTTTTAGGGCCTCCAGTACAAGGACTGCCTTACGCAGGTTCCCTCCAGCATCCTCTGCGATTTCACAAGCAGCATCCGGTGGGAGGTCAAACTTCTCACGCTTCGCGACGTATCGCAAGCAAGTCTGCACCTCTTCTTCCGTGGGTGCCGCGACACGCATTAATAAACACCGGCTCCGGATTGGAGCAATAAGTTTTGACGTGCTGTTCGCGCAGAGGATGATGCGCATGTTTGACATGTATTTCTCCATCGTTCGTCGTAGTGCTGCTTGCGCGTCACGCGACAGCGAATCGGCTTCATTGATTATTACAACTAAAAAAACAAGATGTTACGATAATTGGCTCTAAGGAGAATCATAACAGTACTACGAACCTTTGAAGCGTTGCTTGGCGTTCAAATCCACTTGCTGGGTCTGAGCAATCTCCTTGAGAATCTCTTGGATTACTACCCGATCGTATATGCCCACATCACTATATAACAAATATTGGCCATCAGAATGACACGCGCAGACCTGGATAGGGACAAGGCTTGCCTAGGTGTTATTTCAATGTGAAAATTGCTTTGTACAATGTTGACGTCCAGCTTTCGCTTGGAAGGGGTGAGGAATACCCGCTGATCAATTTTTAGCTGTACGGATTGACAATCAATTCCAAAGCTTGAAACTGTAGCATCGAAGAACACACGTGCCTTCTCTACACCACTGCCAAATAGCTGTCGCAAGGTGCATGCTATTCGAGTCTTTTTTCCGGCGCCACTCGGACCATAAAACAGCATATGAGGGAAGTCACCACTAGCGGCCTGATTGAAGTGCGTGAGTATTGAAAAGTCAATCGCCGAGAAAATGGCGAACAAGAGATCGCAGCCGTGCTGAGAGTCCTTGGTGATAGTGGAGGTCATCCAGCGTTCGTGGACGGTACTGAATAAGACTGTGTTAAAGCCAATTATCCTTGGAATGTATGGTTCCCTCTTACCTTATCGACCCAGAGAGTCATTTGAGAGTCCTGTAGGTACAAGTAACACAGAAAATAGGCTGAGCAGTGAGAAAAGCTGCACACCTCAACGCAGCAGAGACATGTCCACATCGCGTAATGTAACGCGTCTGTCACACAACAGTGACTAAGAATTGCGCGCCTGGGAACATCCATTTGTTTAATTTGAATAGTAACTCATGTGCAGTCGAAATGGTCCACTGCAGGAACTCATCTTTCAATACGGCGACCCAAACTCATGCCCTATGGCTCTTGAATTGCAATCGTTTCCGTTGACATGCCCAGATTTACCGTAAGCGTCATCTGAATTTGTTTTTCCGAGTCTTTAATGATACCATCAGGAAGTCTGTGCCGGAGTATGTGGCTATTGGCAAGGACGCCGCAGAGTGTGTAAAGCTCGGACCAAAGCACTGGAGTCACATAATTTTCTCTCCATTTCAATAAGAGATTGTATGTGGCCAGAAAGTGTCCTCAGGAGCAATAAATAGTGGCATCCTCAGCTCGAATTCGCCTCCCAACACCAGGCGTTGCATTTGAACGATCTGCCTTCAATTGGCAAGTGTGCTCTCTATACTGATTCATACCCACATCTAACATGACGCGCAGAGAGAATTTATCGTCGAATGTCCCACTCTCCCGATTCTCAGATTGCTCACCACCATGTCGTTAGTCCTCAGGTGAATGGAATGTCGAGCCAGGCATATATAACCAGGCGTCTACCTTTGGATGTTCTCCATGAGATTTTCTTCCATACTGCGCAGATAACACAGAGCGGTATGCCTCGTGAAGAATCTATGTTGGCAGCACTGCGTCTGTTGCAAGTTTGCCGGACATGGCGCCACGTAGCTATGTCATGCCCGTCTTTATGGGCAAACATCACCATTCTCCTTGATGGACATGGCAGCAGTGGACGAGATAGCTCGTCCTCAAGGGCCGTCGACATTTTCCTCAAGAGGTCCAGAGCATCTCCGCTTAGCCTGTCGATTACCTGCAGTACTGTGCCTCATACAATACCAAAATTCGACGTCCTGGTGTACATTCTAAGCAAACTACTTAGCCAGCAGAATCGCTGGCGAGTGGCTTGCTTTACCTTTGAGAACGTGGGGGGAACATTGCCAGAAATCAGGCTCGCCAATGTGCCGCTTTTAGAGTCACTCGCCATCGATTGGAAGGGTACATGGATTAATTATGGCATGGGACTAGCCCATATCGACTTCTCGAGTTCTCAAAAACTAGTGTCGCTACACACCTCGGGTATCCTTATCGAAACTAGTGGTGAGCAACTTTATGGCCTGAAACAGGTGTCTTTCCTCGGTCGTCACGTCGAGGTCCGGGGAATGGATCATCTAGAAATCATCCGGAAGGCGCCGCATTTGGAATTCCTTGGGACCAGGTTCATCTTAAGCACAGAAGCTCGGTGGGATAATCCACAGTTCCCCATGATAATGCTGCGTAAGCTGCGCACACTCTTGATCGATGACTCAGATGTTTCCGTATCCCTCGTCAGCAACATAGTCGTACCAGCACTTAAACACCTGATCTGCGGTCCTTTAAACCACGGAAACTTCTACGTACTTGTCCATTTGCTCAAATTGACCCAACCACCATTGGAAGCTTTGGAGATCACTGGTCCCTGCACGATTCAAGACCTCTTTATCCTTCTTCGAATATTCCCCGACTTGCAAAGATTTTGTATGAGAGGCATCTACGTCACGCCCGATTTCTTCGACATGTTGTCCATTGCAGACACAATCGACAGTTATAACGAGCATCAGGGAGTCAGCTCAATTCTATGTCCCAAGCTCACAGAACTTTGTCTCAAAAACCTCAGGTATCGTTGTAACGGCAAAGAAGGAGTAGAGGAATGCATTGAATCGTTATGCAGCATGCTTGAGAAGCGCTGCAATGCTCTGGGAGTAGTCGGATCTATAGAATATGAGCCTGTCGAACCACTGCCTGTCGGTGAAGTGCCAAACTTCAATGTCCCATTCGCCAATATAGGTTGCACCCAGGTGCGCAAGGCCCTTATAATGACGAAGAAGTTGGATGTTCGATTCAAGAAGGTGTTGACCTCCGAGAGGGAGCAAAATTCTGCACAGGAATAGACTCCATGACTTAGTATTTCCCTCTACAAAATACTCTGGAAAAAATACCTGTTAGCAAGGAGTTCAAATGCAAATGTATTCACGTCGAGAGAATCATGCAATATAAACATTGAGGGTGGTATAGATACCATTTCTGCTGAGTCCAAGATGCATCCAGTAGAGTAATCTTGATCCGTTATGTTACTGTTAACGCTACCAGCTCTCATACTGGCTCAGATCCTGCATCTGATACTAAAGAACGAGTATATCTGATACATGATCCACTATTCTTTGATGCATAAATTGAAGGACGAGGATAAATCGAAATCAAGTTGAAATAGTTTTTGTAAAAATAAAAGGTACCTCATTAGCACCTTTGCCTCGTTATGCGGTTCCAGTATGTCAATAAGCGACCATGACATATTCCGAATATACCTTCAAACTCCTGAGGCAGTCATAGTACAAACATTCTAAATCTAGGTCCATCCAGAGCATTCGCATCTCGTGTTTCGTGAGTCTTGTTAGACGAACCTAGCGCTGCGTCTGGGAACGTACATTCTATTATTGTCTGATTCATCTAGATTTCCAGAACAACGACTGTTTCTCCTTGGATCTCGCGTTCGGTCGTCCCGCATGGCTTTACGTCTGTCTCGTTTACGGTATACCTGTCATTCCATCGGGAAAAAGTCTAAAAGGTTATATTACATTATAATGGTGTGAAAAAAGTAAAAAAAGTAAAAAAAGTAATTTGCATATTATCAGACCTCGATTTCTGATAAAGTAGTACAACATTGTATAAGGTACTGTAAGGTTTATGAATGTAATAAAAGTACATAAGGGTAATACCCCTTTTAAACATATAAAATGCATAATATCGGACCTCCCTTTTTTGAAATGTATTGTAAGGATTACCAAGTTTTGAAAGGGTAATATATATTTGTAATGTTTTACAGACTATACATAGTTATTATTCCTTAATAATAATAATTTTCCCTTACATCCATTCATTATTAAAATAACAAAAATCAATTATATTAAAATATTTGTATGATACATCATTATCTACAATAATTAAGGAAAATAAACCAAAACACATACATAGTGCAGCCTGCGTCAAGATTTGTGCAGAGTCACTGAGAGTGTCTGTGTCTGCTGTGATGCGAATACGAGTAGGTAGAGGTTGGGATCGGACCAGACTCGAGCGGCGAACGAGTGCATTACGGGTGTCGATTGCCAGGCCCATCCCTTGACCAGATCCAGACGGACCACCCGAAAGCGAGGGCATTGAGAGGCTCAACGGTTATGACTGCATCTGCGGTTGACCCATCCTTGCAAGCACACCACATCACCCATCTCAAAATCACCAAGGTCTGCCATCTCCACTTTGCGCACGCTACTGCACGTCGTGTGCGGATATCCGAACAGGCAGCCATACAGTGAACTATCAGTGGAGAGCGAGTCAAATTCGCTGTAGTCGTCAGAATCGGCAGTAGATGCTGATGAAGAGACACTCACAGTACTTGTAGTGTATGATGAGCTGCCTCTTGCCTCGTTCTTTTCCCAACAGCATCCGCAACGGAAGAGGAAGGATGTGTTCTCGGGCCGTTTGATGTAGTCTTCATCACCACGCTTTGGTCGTCGCTCGGTCCCTGCAAGTTGAATTGCGTGCGTGTGTGAATTGAGGTCGAGCAGGTTGTGGAGGCTGAGGCTGTGCCTGTGAGACGAGTTTAGAGTGATTAGCGAGTGAAAATAAGAGAGAAAAGGTGGACGCACTGTGACAGCGTGCAGCGAGTGTAAGTGGTGCACCAAGGTTGGGATCCGGAGCGTTGAACAAGCTGATTTGAGCAGCAAGCGAAGCCATGTCTGTACGTGCACATCACATGCTCTGACTACGTCTTGCAATTGGAGGTGCAGAGAACTTAGGCGTTGTGTGTGATTGCAAAGGTGTATCTCTGGGACGTTCTGGCTCGAAGGGAGAGGGTGATGTGGGTGATGTGAACGGACTCGGCTCAGGAGGGATAAGTGATGGCCACTGCTTACCTTATTCGAAATGGTGTCATGGACAGCACTGAGGAATGTAAATGTGCGTGGGGCAAATCTGTCAAGAGTGATGTCAAACAAGGATTGTGCGAAGGAGTAGAACACGTACAGCATTGAGGAGAGGGTGGTACCATAGGAGTGGTTGTACATGAACATTGTCGCGAGTATGCTCGCGTGTGCTCGTCGAGTGTTGCTTGCACTGCAGAGCGGTAAGAAGTACACAAATGCGTGGAGTTATTGGAGAAGTCGTTCGGCACTGGTCAACAATACAGATGTGCGAATGTGAATTCAAAAAGGGAGACGAACGTAAAAAAAGGAGGACAATGAAGGGGAGGCAACGCAAGCAGTGGGACGAGGAGCAGAAGGGATGGAAGGGAGACAAAAGGTTGGGAGGAGAGGGAGGAGCAACTATTGTACAGGCTATTATGAAGTGGACTGGCTACTTACCGCTTTACGTTGAAGGACAGTGTAGTCAGCTCAGTAGCACAACATGCAATCTGAGGCTCTGTACAGGCACTGCAACAGTAGATCAGAGAGACGAGTTACAGCAATGTTTATTGTCTGTGTTGTTGCACTCAGAGTACCTGCTGGAGGATGCTTGCAAGCAGAGGACTGGGCTGGAGAGAACAAAAGCAACAACATAGTGTCAGGGCAGAGGGTTAGACTTAGAGAGATGGTGGAGGTCGGGGAGAAAGAGT